AGTATAGTCACAAAAACCATCAAGCGCTATGATGAAACTGGCTCTCATGAGGACCGCCATAGGAAAGGAAGACCCAGAGTTACCTCTGCTGCAGAGGGTTCATTAGAGTTACCAGCCACAGAAATTGCAGCCCAAATAAATGCTTCACAGAGTTCAAGTAACAGACGCATCTCAACATCAACTGTTCAGAGGGGACTGTGTGAATCAGGCCTTCATGGTCGAATTGCTGCAAAGACACCACTACTAAAGGACACCAATAAGAAGAAGAGACCTGCTTGGGCCAAGAAACACGAGCAATGGACATCAGACCGGTGGAAATTTGTCCTTTGGTCTAGAGTCCAAATTTGAGATTTTTGGTTCCAACCGCAATAGCTTTGTGAGACATGGTGTGGGTGAACGGATGATCTCTGTATGTGTGTTTCCCACCGTAAAGCATGGAGGAGGAGGTGTTATGGTTTGGGGGTGCTATGCTGATGACACTGTCTGTGATTTATTTAGAATTCAAGGCACACTGAACCAGCATGGCTACCACAGCATTCTGCAGCGATACGCCATCCCATCTGGTTTGGGCTTAGTGGGACTATCATTTGTTTTTCAACAGGACAATGACCCAACACACCTCCAGGCTGTGTAAGGGCTATTTTACCAAGAAGGAGAGTGATGGAGTGCTGCATCAGATGACCTGGCCTCCACAATCACCCGACCTCAACCCAATTGAGATGGTTTGGGATGAGTCGGACGGCAGAGTGAAGGAAAAGCAGCCAACAAGTGCTCAGCATATGTGGGAACTCCTTCAAGACTGTTGGAAAAGCATTCCAGGTGAAGCTGGTTGAGAGAACACCAAGAGTGTGCAAAGCTTTCGTCAAGGCAAAGGGTGGCTATTTGAAGAATCTCAAATATAAAATATATTTTGATTTGTTTAACACTTTTTTGGTTACTACATTATTCCATATGTGTTATTTCATGGTTTTGATGTCTTCACTATTATTTTACAATGTAGAAAATAGTAGAAATAAAGAAAAACCCTTGAATGAGTAGGTGTGTCCAAACTTTTGACTGGTAATGTATATATACAGTTGAAGTCGGAAGTTTACATACACCTTAGCAAAATACATTTAAACTCCTGACATTTAATCCTAGTAAAAATGCCCTGTCTTAGGTCAGTTAGGATCACCACTTTATTTTAAGAATGTGAAATAATAGTAGAGAGAATGATTTATTTCAGCTTTTATTTCTTCCATCACATTCCCAGTGGGTCAGAAGTTTACATACACTCAATTTGGTAGCATTGCCTTTAAATTGTTTAACTTGGGTCAAACGTTTCGGGTAGCCTTCCACAAGCTTCCCACAATAAGCTGGGTGAATTTTGGCCCATTCCTCCTGACAGAGCTGGTGTAACTGAGTCAGGTTTGTAGGCCTCCTTGCTCGCACACGCAGTTCTGCCCACAAATGTTCTATAGGATTGAGGTCAGGGCTTTGTGATGGCCACTCCAATACCTTGACTTTCTTGTCCTTAAGCCATTTTGCCGCAACTTTGGAAGTATGCTTGGGGTCATTGTCCATTTGGAAGACCCATTTGCGACCAAGCTTTAACTTCCTGACTGATGTCTTGAGATGTTGCTTCAATATATCCATATAATTTTCCTTCCTAATGATGCCATCTATTTTGTGAAGTGCACCAGTCCTTCCTGCAGCAAAGCACCCCCACAGCATGATGCTGCCACCCCCGTGCTTCACGGTTGGGATGGTGTTCTTCGGCTTGCAAGCCCCCCCCCCCCCTTTCCTCCAAACATGACGATGGTCACTTATGGCCAAACAGTTCTATTTTTGTTTCATCAGTCCAGAGGACATTTCTCAAAAAAGTACGATCTTTGTCCCCATGTACAGTTGCAAACCGTAGTCTGGCTTTTTTATGGCGGTTTTGGGGCAGTGGCTTCTTCCTTGTTGAGCGGCCTTTCAGGTTATGTCGATATAGGACTAGTTTTACTGTGGATATAGATACTTTTGTAGCTGTTTCCTCCAGCATCTTCACAAGGTCCTTTGCTGTTGTTCTGGGATTGATTTGCACTTTTCGCATCAAAGTACGTTAATCTCTAGGAGACAGAACCCGTCTCCTTCCTGAGCGGTATGACGGCTGCGTGGTCCCATGGTGTTTATACTTGCATACTATTGTTTGTACAGATGAACGTGGTACCCTCAGTCGTTTGGAAATTGCTCCCAAGGATGAACCAGACTTGTGGAGGTCTGCAATTATTTTTCTGCGGTCTTGGCTGATTTCTTTTCATTTTCCCATGATGTCAAGCAAAGAGGCACTGAGTTTGAAGGTAGGCCTTGAAATACATCCACAGGTACACCTCCAATTGACTCAAATGATGTCAATTAGCCTATCAGAAGCTTCTAAAGCCATGACATAATTTTCTGGAATTTTCCAAGCTTTTTAAAGGCACAGTCAACTTAGTGTATGTAAACTTCTGACCCACTGGCATTGTGATACAGTGAATTATATGTGAAATAATCTGTCTGAAAACAATTGTTGGAAAACTTACTTGTGTCATGCATAAAGTAGATGTCCTAACCGACTTGCCAAAACTATAGTTTGTTAACAAGAAATTTGTGGAGTGGTTGAAACTAGTTTTAATGACTCCAACCTAAGTGTATGTAAAATTCCGACTTCAACTGTATATACAGTATATGACCTAGTCCCCTTTTAGAGGAGACTTCTATTTTCTTCCAGTGCCCTTCCTCCCCTCTTCTCTGCTCCTATCCACCCCCCCCCCTCTCTCTCTCTGTAAGGCATACTGTACATATATTTTTTCTCCAAAGGGAGATGTGAGGGAGAGACACTGGGTGCAGTGTAAAGGGAAAGAACCTGATAGCGAAGGGGGAGCTTGGAGGAAGAGCATGGGAGGCTGAGAGTCCTCCTGTCCTCACATCTTATCTAGGAGTTTAGAGCTCTCTCTCTTCGTCAAGGAGATTACCTGGAGGGATCCAACATCCTCTTAATTATTAGGAGAACTGGAGGATGGATTAAATACATAACCCTCCCCAATCCCTATCAAATCTACTATTAGAGCGAGAGAGAGATAGAGAGGAGGGAGAGAAAAAGAGAGAATGTCTATGTAGAAATCACATTCCTCTCGAGTGTAAATCTCAACTGAAATGACATTGAATGACATTGGGGGAAATGTACTGTATACTGTATCATAGGAATGATGCATGGGTAGTGGTGTTTTCATGAAAGACAATAAAATTGCCGTTCCTCAATGCCAACATATTATGGTACATTTAGCACTACTAAACACTGCTTTGGTAAACTGCAGTTCTTTTCTTTCTCTCTTTCCAAAAAGTTTGTACGAGAGATTTTCCCCAACTTGATTTTCGAAACCTCTTGCACCAAAATTTCATATGAATGAAAATGTCTGAGGGGAGACAGATTGTGGTGCTTGCTAAGTCCCTGGCAGAATCTCAGTTCTCTCTCTCTCTCTCTGTGTTGTTGCTGCGACAGGGACCAGCATCAGAGATTGTATATCAAAAGTGTGTCAGGACACAACAGTGAATCAGCACAAAATCCGAAGCTTGAAACTTTGGGTCTCACACTTTTTTTTTCTCAGCCAGCAGTGCAAGAAGACATGGAGCACAAACTGTTTGACGTTTACTAATACTTCAAAAATATCTACTTTCACACCTTTCTATTTTTTACAATTTATATAGTTTACCTCAACACATCGATCAACCAGACCACAAGATAACTATGTAGATAACCTTTGGAAACAGGGGACAGAACCATGCAACCCACCTTCATCCTTCGTCCTCCTACTGATTATTTTCTTTCACATATAAAGTGACACATGTCATCCCTCTGTCCCGAGCTCCCCAGCCTCATTAAGTTAAAAGTGCAAAGTAATGTGAACTCAAAAATGCAAAGTCACAAAGCCATCCAAACTCAATTGCTCTTAGAGCCGCAATAACTAACGGTTTGAATACAGTAAATACATGTTGTCTAACGACACAGTCCCAATCCTGGATCTGTGTGATAATTCCTATTGTGACACTGATGATGGCTTTGTATCAGGACCTCAGACTGGAAGGAAATAAAAGATTGGAAATAAAAGATTTGTCCTTCACCTAAGGAGATATATGTCTTTGTACAGAACACTTCCTCTCCTGATACCCCCTCACCCCCAAAGGCAAATCCCCTCTGCAACTTCTCCTGTGTCTGACCAGGTTCCATGACAGGGTGATGGACATGACACACAGGAAGTGGGACGTGAAGGACAGAGTTCTAAGGTGAGGGGTTATAAGGGGGCGTTGCCCCATGTTAGCCCAGAAAATGGGAACCAATCCTGAGTTAGCGGGAGTAAGCCAAAATACGCACCACTGAAGGCACTTCTTAAACAACAGTGCTTCTGTTCTATGGAATTCAAAGTTCAGACAGATTAAACCAGGGCCTTCCACGCAGAAGAAATAATTGACTTTCTGTGTTTATTTTTTATTTTCTTCGCCGTCACGCAATATGCAGCTTGGACTATCTGCAAAGGGATGGCTGCGGGCTGATGGGGAAATGGGGAGCCAATGGCCTCCCAACACCAGAAAATAGCTTGCTTTTAAGGACAGTGAAGACAGCAAGAGATAATAAAATAAAAAATAAAAATATATATAAAACAAAAGTAACTAACCCCATAATCTACCAAAAACCAGGGAAAAAATTGTAAATCAGAGCATAAGTTTCAGTCTCAGACAGTCTTGGAGCAGGAGAGGGCTCAGTACAGTACAGTACAGTACAGTATAATACAGTAGGACCCAAAGCTGCCATGCTGCACAGTCCACTATGGCGGTTGCTTAATTGATTGGTCAGTTGCTAGGTCAGTTCAGTTGGTTGGTTTGTGTGTGTGTGTGGTGTGTATTAAAGTTCCCAAGATTGTAGAGACAGAGAGAGCATGGCAGACCAGCTGAGTAGGGTGGATTGGGGAAGTTGATCTTTAACAGGGCCCCCTGTGGCCCTAGTCGTCTTCCCCTCCCCCGTACATATCGGCCAGCTTCTTAAAGCGGGGGCCCCAGTCGTTGAGGTAGTCGTAGTCCTGGTCCCCTGTGCTGGAGGAGTTGAGGGAGCTGACGGACCCGGCCGTGGAGCCACTGCCCTCGTAGTCAAACACCAGGAGGGAGTCATAGGGAGGGGCCGTGGGGTCGTTGTCTGCTGCCCGCAAACCCTGGAGGGAGATAGAGGGAGGAGAGAGTTAATAGTAAACAGGCTCACCTGGAGGGAGGGAGGTTGCTATAAAGTGGAACTGACAGTATTTGGGCAACATTAAATCTTATTAAAATTGGTTCATATACACCCCCAGGAAGAATATGACACTTTTTTAAAAACAAGCGAGGACTTAGATATGGTCATTTTCACGTTTTCATAAATTATTAGAACGTTTGGGAATTACTGTCACGATCGTCTGAAGGAGCGGACCAATACGCAGCGCGTGGAGTGAACATGATGACTTTATTATTTAAAGCAACCACGAAGAAAACAACAAATGACGATACGTGAAGTTCAAACTACTGATACAGACTAACAGCAACACGGAAACAATAACCCACAAAACAAAAGAGAAAACAAACAGAATATATATGGCTCCCAATCAGAGATAACGAGCCGACAGCTGACACTCGTTACCTCCGATTGGGAGTCATAGACCAATCACCATAGACACAAACAAAATGAAACTCACCCATCCCCAACACCACCAAATGAAATACACCCAAACACATGAAAATGAACAACCCTGGCTCAATTATAAAGTCCATAGAGCCAGAGTGTCACAGTACCCCCCCCTAAAGGTGCGAACTCCGGGCGCACCAACATCAGGACTAGGGGAGGGTCTGGGTGGGCGTCTGTCCACGGTGGCGGCTCTGGCCCCGGTCGTGATCCCCACCCCACCACAGTCACAACCTGCTTCGGTAGCCTCCTCCCAATGACCACCCTCCAACTAACCCCACCTGGACTAAGGGGCAACACCGGACTAAGGGGCAGCATCGGCCTAAGGGGCAGCACCGGGATAAGGGGCAGCACCGGGATAAGGGGCAGCACCGGACTAAGGGGCAGTACCAGGCTGAATGGCGGATCCCGGCTGGTCGGCTCTGGCGGATCCCGGCTGGACGGCTCTGGCGGATCCCGGCTGGACGGCTCTGGCGGATCCCGGCTGGACGGCTCTGGCGGATCCCGGCTGGACGGCTCTGGCGGATCCTGGCTGGACGGCTCTGGCGGATCCTGGCTGGACGGCTCTGGCGGATCCTTGCTGGACGGCTCTGGCGGATCCTGGCTAGACGGCTCTGGCGGATCCTGGCTGGACGGCTCTGGCGGATCCTGGCTGGACGGCTCTGGCTGCTCATGGCTGGCTGACGGATCTGGCTGCTCATGGCTGGCTGACGGATCTGGCTGCTCATGGCTGGCTGACGGATCTGGCTGCTCATGGCTGGCTGACGGGTCTGGCTGCTCATGGCTGGCTGACGGGTCTGGCTGCTCATGGCTGGCTGACGGATCTGGCTGCTCATGGCTGGCTGACGGATCTGGCTGCTCATGGCTGGCTGACGGATCTGGCTGCTCATGGCTGGCTGACGGATCTGGCTGCTCATGGCTGGCTGATGGATCTGGCTGCTCATGGCTGGCTGACGGATCTGGCTGCTCATGGCTGGCTGATGGTGCTGGCTGGGCGGCTGGCGGTGGAGGCGGACCCCAGCCTCGGATTGCAGTCATCACCTCCAGCAGGGCGGCTCCCATCTGCAGGAGCTGCTCTTGCTGGTCCCGAACCTGAGCTTCCAGTCTAGTATGGGCTGCGTCGGCTCCTGCTGATTCCATAGCAGGTGTATGATTCTGTCTGGCGGAAGGCTCTAGCGGCTCCTGTCTGGCGGAAGGCTCTAGCGGCTCCGATCTGGCGGACGGCTCTGAAGGCTCATGGCAGACGGGCGGCTTTGCAGGCTCAGTACAGACGGGCGGCTTATGCAGCGCTTGGCAGACGGGCAGTTCAGACGCCCTAGGGCAGACGGGCAGTTCCGGCGCCGTTGGGCAGACGGCCAGTTCAGGCGCCGTTGGGCAGACGGCAGACTCTGGCCGGCTGGCGACGCACATCGTGGTCCTGGTGCGTGGAGTAGGAACAGGCCGGTCCATACCGGGAACACACACCACTGGCCTTAACTGGGGATCAGGAACGGGCCGGACCGGACTGGTAACACACTTCAGTCTCTCATGCCGTGCCACAACAACTTCCCTCCTTCTACTCGCCAATGGCTCCCGTACTCCGTTAGCCTTCTCTCCTTTTCTCCCTGTGGCAGCCTCCTGCTGCCCAGCTGCCCAAGCCATGTGCCCCCCCCAAAAAATTTATTGGGGTTGCCTCTCTTCCACGGGCTTCCAGCCTCGCCTTCGCGCTGCCTCCTCGTACCACCTCCTCTCGGCTTTGGCTGCCTCCAGCTCTTCACGAGGGCGGTGATATTCCTCCGGTTGTGCCCAAGGACCCTTTCCAGCCCGAATCTCCTCCCATGTCCAAAAATCCTTAGGAGGCGTCCATAACTCCTGTGTAGGTAGGTCCTGTTGCCGCTTGTTACGCTGCTTGGTCCTTTTGTGGTGGGTTATTCTGTCACGATCGTCTGAAGGAGCGGACCAATACGCAGCGCGTGGAGTGAACATGATGACTTTATTATTTAAAGCAACCACGAAGAAAACAACAAATGACGATACGTGAAGTTCAAACTACTGATACAGACTAACAGCAACACAGAAACAATAACCCACAAAACAAAAGAGAAAACAAACAGAATATATATGGCTCCCAATCAGAGATAACGAGCCGACAGCTGACACTCGTTACCTCCGATTGGGAGTCATAGACCAATCACCATAGACACAAACAAAATGAAACTCACCCATCCCCAACACCACCAAATGAAATACACCCAAACACATGAAAATGAACAACCCTGGCTCAATTATAAAGTCCATAGAGCCAGAGTGTCACAATTACATACTGTATACTAATAGAACACAGGCTCACCTGGAGGGAGGGAGCTATAAAGTGGAACTGACAGTATTTTGGCAACATTAAATCTTATTAAAATTGGTTCATATACACCCCCAGGAAGAATATTACACTTTTTTTAAAACAAGCGAGGACTTAGATATGGTCATTTTCACGTTTTCATAAATTATTAGAATGTTTGGGAATTACATACTGTATACTAAGGCATTTGTGAAAATATAGAGTGGGAAAGCGGCCGTGCGTTTGGACAACTAATAGACACTGCAGTAAACAAAACCGAATAAAAACATCTGTCTCATCCAAGACAAGAGTCTACGCAGACCGGTGCGCTATAGCCAATCAGAGCTACAGTAGGCCTTTATGCAAACAAGCCATTTGCCACATTGGCCTGCCATCATTCACTTTGAACTGGACTGTGTGTTTACAGGCAGTTGCAACAGCGCGATTTTAGATCATTAGAACGCATTTGCCAAAAGCCACAAAATACACCTGAATGGATTTCTGAAAATATGTAAATACCACGGGAGTCCTCTTACATTTGGGAACTGTACAGTCCTATTGATCAAACAACCATGAAAAGGTAGGCTCTCTCTCCCTCAGTTATACACATCAACAATAACAAGATCAACAACTAATACTAGCCAGAGCAAGATTAGATAAAATCTAACTAAGGAACATTAGATAAACCCACTCAAACTTTTTCAGCTAGTTGGCCATCAAAATTGCACTGATAAACGATGGGGAATTGTAGCCTACTTGTCCATCTGCAGCTTGCCTGCCAATGCATGCTTGTCCCAACCAAGCACCCAAACTAACTGGCTAAAGTTGGCTAGCTTGCTAGCTAGCTACTTCCAGACACAAATGAGAGAACACCTCACTCTGACCATTTTACTCGCCGTAGCAGAGCTGGTTAGGCTGTTTACATGTTATCTAGAGTGTTCGTGACACCACTATTACTTTTTTTTGCCTAAGTTTACTGACACCGGTCATATTCAGCGGGTTTTGCGCGTTCGTAAATTCATCAGTTATTCTGCGCTCTGCCACACTCAGACTAGATTGCTCTGAAATCAGATTACATAGCCAGAGTGAATTTGTGAACGCAAGAGATATGCTAACTGGATAACTGTTGTTCAAGTTCTTGCAAGCTAACCAAATGACACCTGCATCTCTAGCTGTGTATAGCCACTGAAAAACGATATGAGGGGAAAAAGTCAGTCACTCACCCACTCCTCCAATGGCATGACATGACATGACATCCTCCTAGCAGCTAGCTAGCTATCTAGCTAACGTTAAGCTCTGTGTTTTTAGCTTGCTACATAAATAGATACACTAGCCTATTAGCCACGCTATAACTGACTTGTGATCATTGCCCTTGCTAGTTTGATTATATTGACATTCCCAGCCTTAGTTATATTTGTCCGTGTTTGTCAAAAATATTGAGTCATTGAAACTGAAACAGTGCTTCCCGAATGCCAACAATGGCTTAGTGTACGTCATGGAATGTTGAATGAAATATAACCTATTTTTAAAACCTCTTATAAAGTTGGTTTTGTAGCATAAACTGGGAATTTTATATTTTGGACTGATATTACGATTGTCTGTTTGTTTCATATCTGCAAAGTAGTTAAAACGCTGTCAGTTCCACTTTAATAGAACACAGGCTGACCTGGACGGAGGGAGGGAGGGAGTTAATAAAAACACAGGCTGAGGAAACACCACAGCGTAGGCCAACAGGATTAGCAAGGTTAGTGTATAGTACTATATAGAGACAGAGGAGGGTAGGCTTTCAGTAAGATAACATACACAGGCTGAGGAAACACCAGAGAGGAGATGGGAAGTGTTGGCATACAGGCAATATATTGGGAGTGACAAAGTGATGTCATTGGCAGGGATGTAGAATCCCCAAGGAGGAGGATACAGTGGGCAGCCGAGCCACCATGTGTTTGTGTTTTGCCAGACTGATGGAGCGAGATCAGTGTGTGTGTGTGTGTGTGTGTGTATGTGTAGGCAGGATGGATCAAAGCTGAACAGCTGCCAATACTTCTCAAGTGTGAACATGTTGTCATGGCGCCTGTCAATCAAAGCCTTCTTGCATGAGTTACAAACACGCGCGTGTGTGCGTACATGTATGTGTATGTGTTTGTGTGTGTGATAACAGCTGTCAGGTAATCTCCATCTCCACTGTTGCCAGAGCTCAGAGCATTGAAGCCTGTAAACAAACAGCATGCAGAAAATGCCTACATTTAAGCAATATTATCCTCAGATCTCACACATTTACCTGAAACAGAAGGTGAATCAAATGTATCTTAGAAATAAGGAGGTACACAGTATATGCACCACCATGTATTTACAGATATATTCATTTTTTATTTCAATGTCTCATGTTGTGTGTTTGAAGTTGTGTATTGTAGGTTAGTCATTGTGCCTTGTATGTGGAATTGTGTCTGTGTTTGTGTCAAGTCACAAGTAGAAAAGTGCTGATGGACTAAACGGTATCTTGATAAAGAAATAAACAAAACAATAATATGACCCCTGGTTGCCCCCCTCACCTCGTTGATGAAGTCCCCGATGTCCCCAGGGTGGGGGATCGCAGGTCGGATGGGATACTGGGACTCAGGGATGATGGGGCGCTCATCCACCCTCCGTACCCCCTGGGGCTTACTGATGATGTGTTCCAGAGAGTCAGGCTGCTGCAGCTGGCTTAGGTCATAGTCCTGCACAGAGACACACACAGACAGATGATACAGTCAACCTCAAGACATAACTAACTTGCACTCAGTGTTTGTGGGTGTATGTGTAATATATGTGTGTATGTGATATATACTGTAAATATACATGTATATGTTTATAAGTCTGTATCTGTGTGTGTGTGTCTCTGAGTGTGTGTGTGTCTCAGTGTGTGGTGTGTGTGTGTGTACCTGGTCCTCCTCTCCCCCTCCCTCCTCGTCGTATTTCAGGATGTTATCTCTGACATCGTCCTCTGGGTCGATCAGTAGCTGTTTGGTCTGTCTCTCCTTCTCTCTGCGCTTCATCCACACCACAAACACTAGTACCATACCTGGAACACAACACACACAACACCTTTAACAACACACTACTACTGCAAAACACACAACCAACAAACCTTTGTTAACACACTACTACTGCAAAACACACAACCAACAAACCTTTGTTAACACACTACTACTGCAAAACACACAACCAACAAACCTTTGTTAACACACTACTACTGCAAAACCACAACCAACAACCTTTGTTAACACACTACTACTGCAAAACACACAACCAACAAACCTTTGTTAACACACTACTACTGCAAAACACACAACCAACAACCTTTGTTAACACACTACTACTGCAAAACACACAACCAACAAACCTTTGTTAACACACTACTACTGCAAAACACACAACCAACAAACCTTTGTTAACACACTACTACTGCAAAACACACAACCAACAAACCTTTGTTAACACACTACTACTGCAAAACACACAACCAACAACCTTTGTTAACACACTACTACTGCAAAACACACAACCAACAAACCTTTGTTAACACACTACTACTGCAAAACACACAACCAACAAACCTTTGTTAACACACTACTACTGCAAAACACACAACCAACAAACCTTTGTTAACACACTTCTACTGCAAAACACACAACCAACAAAGCTTAAACCACATTATTGGCCTACTGCAAAATACACAACCACACAAAAAGCTCTACACATTTGTGGAGGATAGGACTGTACTACCATACACAAGAGTGAAAAGCATGATGTAAATGTAATCCATGAGCACACACCACACAGCAAACCACCAGCAGCACCTTAGCAAGACAAGTCCGCATTACAACCTCTGTCTGACAGAACCCAATAATAAAACCCATGGGGTCACCAACTCAGAGAGAACACATTCTGATGGCCAGCTAGGCATTCATCTATAATACAACATGTATGCTATTGTGTTTACTGTATGGTAAATGTTTGATGAATTGAAGGCCCAAATGAGAGAACAGCAAATCATAACCCACTTCAGCATCTGGTAAGAAAGGTGGTTTAATATAACATGTGATCATAGGGAGGCATCTGATGTACAGTGTGTAGTGAGGAGGTAGTGGTAGCTACAGATAGAGGTCTTCATGGGTCCAAAAAGTTGGACCCATTCCGAAATGGACCTGGGGCTTTCCCACCCGGACCCGATATGCATAACTATTTTTTTTTTAAATATAGAGACCTGTTCCGAACTAACCGGAGGACAACTAGACCTGTTCCGTATAAACCTGGTCAGATCCAGACCCTATCCGGTCTGATCTGAGTGAGGGAAGCAGCAGAAAAGTCATAATTTAAGCTACTTTAGTCATTGGAGCTGCTAAAGTGCGAGAGGCGGGGGAGAGAGGTGCATCTCTAGCAGGTGGGGGAGGGGCCGTACTGTGAGTGAGTGACATGGGGAGTAGGTGGGAGAGACGACTCGAGCTATAGTAGACTAATAGCTGCCATAGCTAGATTATTTATCTTAAAATATGATTACATAGTACCTGTCTTGACTGCATCAAAACGGGAGAAATCTATCTAGCTAGGCTAATTGAGGCTGCAGTGCATTCGCTTTCTCATCCTACAGTTACAAAAACTCCATTCAGAATATTAAGTAGCAGCCTACCTGTTGGCTCTTGGTCGTTGTAGCCTATCCTTCTCCTTTTAGTTCTGCCATTTTAATTCCATCTTCCATTCATTAGATATCCCCTAACTTTTGCCACTCATGGAGGCTCTATGACTGTAGCCTATTACCGCTTTGATGACTTATGATTGGCCAACAACAACAAAATGCTACACGCGCCATGCTCCACACTCGTGAAAAGCAGGAGCAGCAGCATAGATTACTGCAGCAGTCGCATTCGGATCTGTACGGGCCCTTCCGGACAAGTCAGTTAAAATTACACATACCCGAGACCCGTGACAATCATATCAGATCCGACCCAGACCCGTGACTTTGTTTAAAATTCAAGTCTCTTGGGGTACTCCTGAGTGGCGCAGTGGTCTGCCACTAGAGATCCTGGCTCGAATCCAGGCTCTGTCGCAGCCGGCCGCGACCGGGAGACTCATGGACAGCGCACAATTGGCCCAGCGTCGTCCAGGGTAGGGGAGGGAATGGCCGGCAGGGATGTAGCTCAGTTGATAGAGCATGGCGTTTGCAACGCCAGGGTTGTGGGTTCGTTTCCCACGGGGGGCCAGTATTAAAAAATATTTAAAACATAAATGTATTCACTAACTGTAAGTCGCTGTGGATAAGAGCTTCTGCTAAATGACTAAAATGTAAATGTAAAAATGGGTATGTCTCTATAAGCTTGGCACATCTAGCCACTGGGAGTTTTGCCCATTCTTCAAGGCAAAACTGCTCCAGCTCCTTCAAGTTGGATGGGTTCTGCTGGTGTACAGCAATCGTTAAGTCATACCACAGATTCTCAATTGGATTGAGGTCTGGGCTTTGACTAGGCCATTCCAAGACATTTAAATGTTTCCCCTTAAACCACTCGAGTGTTGCTTTAGCTGTATGCTTAGGGTCATTGTCCTGCTGGAAGGTGAACCTCCGTCCCAGTCTCAAATCTCAGGAAGACTGAAACAGGTTTCCCTCATGAATTTCCCTGTATTTAGCGCCATCCATCATTCCTTCAATTCTGATCAGTTTCCCAGTCCCTGCCGATGCTAAACATCCCCACATCATGATGCTGCTACAACCGTGCTTCACTGTGGGGATGGAGTTCTCGGGGTGATGAGAGGTGTTGGGTTTGCACCAGACATAGCGTTTTCCTTGATGGCCAAAAAGCTCAATTTTAGTCTCATCTGACCAGAGTACCTCTTCCATATGTTTGGCGAGTCTCCCACATGCCTTTTGGTGAACACCAAACGTGTTTGCTTATTTGTTTCTTTAAGCAATGGCTTTTTTCTGGCCACTCTTCCGTAAAGCCCAGCTCTGTGGAGTGTACGGCTTAAAGTGGTCCTATGGACAGATACTCCAATCTCCGCTGTGGAGCTTTGCAGCTCATTCAGGGTTATCTTTGGTCTCTTTGTTGCCTCTCTGATTAATGCCCTCCTTGCCTGGTCCGTGAGTTTTGGTGGGCGGCCCTTTCTTGGCAGGTTTGTTGTGGTGCCATATTCTTTCCATTTTTTTATAATGGATTTAATGGTGCTCCGTGGGATGTTCAAAGTTTCTGATATTTTTTTATAACCCAACCCTGATCTGTACTTCTCCACAACTTTGTCCCTGACCTGTTTGGAGAGCTCCTTGGTCTTCATGGTGCCGCTTGCTTGGTGATGCCCCTTGCTTAGTGGTGTTGCAGACTCTGGGGCTGTTCAGGACAGGTGTATATATACTGAGATCATGTGACAGATCATGTGACACTTAGATTGCACACAGGTGGACTTTATTTAACTAATTATGTGACTTCTGAAGGTAATTGGTTGCACCAGATCTTATTTAGGGGCTTCATAGCAAAGGGGGTGAATACATATGCACGCACCACTTTTCCGTTATGTATTTTTTAGAATTTGTTGAAACAGGTTATTTTTAAAATTTCACTTCACCAATTTGGACTATTTTGTGTATGTCCATTACATGAAATCCAAATAAAAATCCATTTAAATTACAGGTTGTAATGCAACAAAATAGGAAAAATGCCAAGGGGGATGTATACTTTTGCAAGGAACTGTATACAAGACAGGTGCACAAAATCTAATTTTAAGGAAGTCTTGAGGTTTTGCTCGCCTGAGGTAGAGTATCTCATGATAAACTGTAGACCACACTATTTACCAAGAGAGTTTTCATCTATATTTTTCATGGCTGTCTATTTACCACCACAAACTGATGCTGGCACTAAGACCACACTCAACGAACTGTATAAGGCCATAAGCAAACAAGAAAATGCTCATCCAGAGGCGGCGCTCCTAGTGGCCGGGGACTTTAATGCAGGGAAACTTAAATCCGTTCTACCTAATTTCTACCAGCATGTTAAATGTGCAACCAGAGGAAAAATAACTCTAGACCACCTTTACTCCACACACAGAGACGCATACAAAGCTCTCCCTCGCCCTCCATTTGGCAAATCTGACCATAATTATATCCTCCTGATTCCTGCTTACATGCAAAAACTAAAGCAGGAAGTACCAATGACTCACTCAATACAGAAGTGGTCAGATGACGCAGATGCTAAGCTACAGGACTGTTTTGCTAGCACAGACTGGAATATGTTCCGGGATTCTTCCGATGACATTGAGGAGTACACCACATCAGTCACTGGCTTCATCAATAAGTGCATAGATGACGTCATCCCCACAGTGACCGTACGTACATACCCCAACCAGAAGCCATGGATTACAGGCAACATCCGCACTGAGCTAAAGGGTAGAGCTGCCACTTTCAAGGAGCGGGACTCTAACCTGGACGCTTATTATGAATACCACTATGCCCTCCGACGAATCATCAAACAGGCAAAGCGTCAATACAGGACTAAGATCGAATCGTACTACACCGGCTCCAATGCTCGTAGAATGTGGCAGGGCTTGCAAACTATTACGGACTACAAATGGAAGCACAGCCGCGAGCTGCCCAGTGACACAAGCCTACCAGACGAGCTAAATTACTTCTATGCTCGCTTCGAGGCAAGCACACTGAAGCATGCATGAGAGCATCAGCTGTTCCGGACGACTGTGTGATCACGCTCTCCGTAGCCGATGTGAGTAAGACTTTTAAACAGGTCAACATTCACAAGGCCGCAGGGCCAGGCCGGTTCCCCTCTCTCCACTGGGGTTCTCTGCCTCTAACCCTGTTACAGGGGCTGAGTCACTGGCTTGCTGGTGCTCTTTCATGCCGTCCCTAGGAGGGGTGCGTCACTTGAGTGGGTTGAGTTACTGACGTGATCTTCCTGTCTGGGTTGGCGCCCCCCCTTGGTTTGTGCTGTGGTGGAGACCTCTGTGGGCTATACTCGGCCTTGTCTCAGGATTGTAAGTTGGTGGTTGAGGATATCCCTCTAGTGGTGCGGGGGCTGTGCTTTGGCAGAGTGGGTGGGGTTATATCCTTCCTGTTTGGCCCTGTCCGGGGGTTTCTTCGGATGGGGCCACAGTGTCTCCGGACCGCTCCTGTCTCAGCCTCCAGTATTTATGCTGCAGTAGTTTATGTGTCGGGGGGCTGGGGTTAGTTGGTTATACCTGGAGTACTTCTCCTGTCTTATCCAGTGTCCTGTGTGAATTTAAGTATGCTCTCTCTAATTCTCTCGTTCTCTCTTTCTCTCTGAGAACCTGAGCCCTAGGACCATACGTCAGGACTACCGGGCATGCTGACACCTTGCTGTCCCCAGTCCGCCTGGCCTTGCTGCTATTCCAGTTTCAACTGTTCTGCCTGCGGTTACGAAACCCCTACCTGTCCCAGACCTGCTGTTTTCAACTCTTAATGATCGGCTATGAAAAGCCAACTGAGAGACCTGAGCCCTAGGACCATACGTCGGGACTACCGGCCGTGGTGACTCCTTGCTGTCCCCAGTCCGCCTGGCCTTGCTGCTATTCCAGTTTCAACTGTTCTGCCTGCGGTTATGGAACCCCTACCTGTCCCAGACCTGCTGTTTTCAACTCTTAATGATCGGCTATGAAAAGCCAACTGAGATTTATTCCTGATTATTATTTGACCATGCTTGTCACTTATGAACATTTTTGAACATCTTAGCATGGTTCTGTTATAATCTCCACCCGGCACAGCCAGAAGAGGACTGGCCACCCCTCATAGCCTGGTTCCTCTCTAGGTTTCTTCCTAGGTTTTGGCCTTTCTAGGGAGTTTTTCCTAGCCACCGTGCTTCTACACCTGCATTACTAGCTGTTTGGGGTTTTAGGCTGGGTTTCTGTACAGCACTTCGAGATATTAGCTGATGTACGAAGGGCTATATAAAATAAAATTGATTGATTGATTGATTGATTACCAGGACATGTACTCCGAGCATGCGCTGACCAACTGGCAAGTGTCTTCACTGACATTTTCACATGTCCCTGACTGAGTCTGTAATACCAACATGTTTCAAGCAGACCACCATAGTCCCTGTGCCCAAGAACACTAAGGTAACCTGCCTAAATGACTACCGACCCATAGCACTCACGTCTGTAGCCATGAAGTGCTTTGAAAGGCTTGTCATGGCTCACATCAACACCATTATCCCAGAAACCCTAGACCCACTCCAATTTGCATACCGCCCCAACAGATCTTTCAGATGATGCATAGACTGTTCTCTCTGCTACCGCACTGTAAGGTCTACACTGTTGTATTCGGCTCATGTGACAAAGAAAACATGATTTGATTTGATTAATCGCGTTTAATAGCAAATTCTGATTAAGCTGTCATTTACGATTTTTCCTACAATAAACATTACAAGAATATTGACGTCTTGATTTTGTCTAAAGTAACGTTTAGCAAAATTAGGTAAATTGAGAAAGCACACTTTCTTTAACCTCAAAGTCAACTTGTTTCTACATTGCATTGTTGTTTTTAGCTGTATAGATGATGTATTTGGGATGTTTTCAGCATATTTTCAACGATTTCAGACAATGCGATCAATCACAATTGAAAAAAATGTCTACCCTCAAATTACTACAACTGAATTTGAGTAAACTCTGACTGCCCTAGTCTGTTTCTATACTCTCTGAGAGCGGTGAACACAATTAGCTGTTAATAAGAAAGTGATGGCTCTGAGCGAAACTAAGTGAAGCGTCTGGAGGTATGGCAGGTGTGTATGTGTATTCTCTGTGTGTGCTTGTGAATACAAGAAAAATAGTTTGTGTGTATCTACTCACTGAGCAGTATGATGATACAGATGAGTATGGCTATGATGGCTCCAGTCCCCAGTCCTGCGGCAGCCACAGCCCCGACCAGGGTGCAGTCTCCGTTCTCATCACACGGACACACCTTGACCTTTATAATGGACCTGTTGGAGAGCGGAGGGTTCCCTGAGTCGCTCACAATCACAGGCACCTCATACACCCCAGGCTCCAGATACTGGATCCGCAAACTCAACCGGGCATAGTCACCTGGGAAGGGGAGGGGAGAGAGGGAACAGACAGATACATACTGTTAATATCCAATATCAAAACATTCTTAGGCACTGCCTTTACTACCCCCCCACCCCTCACCGTTGAGACGTGACACAGTCCAGTTGCGTCGTACGCTGGTGGGGAAGGTGGGCAGCTCAAATACGAAGGGGCCTACGTTGGGGTCCGTGTCTGAGTCTGCAGCCGTGATGTTGATGCCAGTGTTGCGGTTGATGCGCTCACAGATCTGAGACTCACGGGGCAGCAGAGACGGAGCATTATCATTCACATCTATCAGATTGATCTGGAGGGTTCCTGTACCGCTGGCCATGGGAGAGCCTGGGAGGACAGGAGAGGGGGAGAGTGGAGGAAAGGCAAGGGGGAGATGAGGTAAGGGAAGGGGTTATTGTTACTGTTGTTGTTATTGTTAAGCAAACACTCACGGCCATGCGTGTCTCCATTAACCCTCACACACACATGGCCTCACAGCTGCACACTGATCAGAACACTCACTGCCCTTTCCAAACAATACCCTAACAGAACAATGACTTCTCTTCAAGGGGGCAGAGAGAGAAAGATAGAGAGAGAGAGACGACAGAGACAGGGTAGGAAGATAGAGTGAGAGAACTAGAGAAAAGGACTGGAAGTGGAGATAGTGAGAAAGCAAATAAAGGAAGACAGACAGAAAGGGAGAAAGATAGATATACCGAGAGATAAGTGTATCTCCTGTAATGAGAGAGAGAGAGAGAGAGAGAGAGAGAGAGAGAGAGAGAGAGAGAGAGAGAGAGAGAGAGAGAGAGAGAGAGAGAGAGAGAGAGAGAGAGAGAGAGAGAGAGAGAGCGCGCGAGAGAGAGAGAGAGAGAGAGAGAGAGAGAGAGAGAGAGAGAGAGAGAGAGAGAGACAGACAACTTCCTGGACAAAACGTTTCACTGTAATAGTAAAGGTGTAAACTTGGCAGTAGAAAACCTAAACAGTATATTTCACCTCTCAGCTCCCTATCAAATCTAAAAAATATCAAGCAGACAACCTAAGAAAATTAACAACAAAGACAAATGGTTTGATGAAGAATGCAAAAACCTAAGAAAGAGAAAACAGAGAACCTGAGCCTACGCCTATTCACTATGGTGAATCACTAAAACAATACACAAATACACTACGGAAAAAGAAGGAACAGCACGTCAGAAATCAGCTCAATGAAATTGAAGAATCCATCAAATCTAACCACTTCTGGGAAAATTGGAACACACCAAACAAACAACAACACGAAGAGTTACAGTATCTATCCAAAACGGAGATGTATGGATAAACCACTTCTCCAATCTTTTTGGTTCTATAACAAAGAACAAACAGCAAAAACATATACATGATCAAATACAAATCTTAGAATCAACTATTAAAGAGCCTACAGCAGCACCTAGATCTTCTGCACAGATTCTGTCAGATCTGGGCCCTGACAGTAAATCTCAGTAAGACAAAAATAATGGTGTTCCAAAAAAGGTCCAGTTGCCAAGACCACAAATACAAATTCCATCTAGACACCATTGCCCTAGCGCACACACAAAAAACTATACATACCTTGGCCTAAACATCAGCGCCACAGGTAACTTCCACAAAGCTGTGAACGATCTGAGAGACAAGGCAAGAAGGGCCTTCTATGCCATCAAAAGGAACATAAAATTCAACATACCAATTAGGATCTGGCAAAAAACACTTGAATCAGTTATAGAACCCATTGCCCTTTCTGGTTGTGAGGTCTGGGGTCCGCTCACCAACCAAGAATTCACAAAATGGGACAAACACCTAATTGAGACTGCATGCAGAATTCTGCAAAAATATCCTCAGTGTATAACGTAAAACACCAAATAATGCATGCAGAGCAGAATTAGGCCGAAACCCGCTAATTATCAAAATCCAGAAAAGAGCCATTAAATTCTACAACCACCTAAAAGGAAGCGATTCCCAAATCTTACATAACAAAGCCATCACCTACAGAGAGATTAACCTGGAGAAGAGTCCTCTAAGCATGCTGGTCCTGGGGCTCTGTTTACAAACACAAACAGACCCCACAGAGCCCCAGGATAGCAACACAATTACACCCAACCAAATCATGAGCAAACAAAAATATAATTACTTGACACATTGGAAAGAATTAACAAGAAAACAGAGCAAACTAGAACGCTATTTGGCTCTAAACAGAGAGTACACAGTGGCAGAATACCTGACCACTGTGACTGACCCAAAATTAAGGAAAGCTTTGACTGTGTACAGACTCAGTGAGCAAAGCCTTGCTATTGAGAGAGGCTGCCGTAGGTAGACCTGGCTCTCAAGAGAAGGCAGGCTATGTGCATACTGCCCACAAAATGAGTTGGAAACTGAGCTGCACTTCCTAACCTCCTGCCAAATGTATGACCATATTAGAGACACATACTTCCCTCAGATTACACAGACCCACAAAGAATTCGAAAACAAATCCAATTAAAAAATATATATATTGGGTGAAATACCACAGTGTGCCATCACAGCAGCAAGATGTGTGACCTGTTGCCACAAGAAAACGGCAACCAGTGAAGAACAAACACCATTGTAAATACAACCCATATAGACAACCCACATTTATGTTTAATTATTTTCCCTTTTGTACTTGAGCTATTTGCACATCCTTACAACGCTGTATATAGCCATAATATGACATTTTAAATGTCTCTATTGCTTTTGAACTTTTGTGAATGTAATGTTTACTGTTCATTTTTTATTATCCATTTAACTTGCTTTGGCAATATAAACATATGTTTCCCATGCCAATAAAGCCCTTTGAATTGAGAGAGAGAGAGAGAGAGAGAGAGAGAGAGAGAGAGAGAGAGAGAGAGAGAGAGAGAGAGAGAGAGAGAGAGAGAGAGAGAGAGAGAGAGAGAGAGAGAACTGCTAGGGAGCTTTGGTGCCAGAGGAAAACTCTGTTCCTGACAGAAACACTTCTGACTATTTGGCTGTTTGTCAAGCAATCAGCCGAGGCTGCTCCTCCTCCTTGCTCGGGCAGGCTTCGGCGTTCGTCGTCCCCGGAGTACTAGCTGCCACCGATCTATGTTTCTGTGTTTGACTTGTTTTGTCTTGATTGTGTACACCTGTTTCCTATTATGTTGTATTGTATTCCCTATTTAACCCTCTGTCGTTCATTGTGTGTTGTGTGTGATTGTTCTCGTCATTTTCGGCAGTTGCTAGTGTGCGGGTATTCCCCTCCCTGTTTGGAGGTTGTTTTGTATTCTGGTTACTTTGTTAGTAAAGTATTGTTTCCAGTAGCTCGGTGTCCTGCGTTTGACTTCGCCTACCGCATTCACGTCGCACTTTGACACTGTTCAACCTCCCCTTATTTCTTACAGCCAAATCCCTCTCATCACAACCCATCTCCCTACATACACAGCTCACACACTCGCCAGAGACAATAACAATTAATATAACACAATAAAACAGTCTGTGGATATTTTCTCTGAGGTGTGTGTATATGTATGTGTGTGTGTGTGTGTGTGTGTGTGTGTAAACATGTATACATACACAATGTGAAGGCCATTTGCATTGACTGAGTGAACCGATGGACATGGCCACATAACATTTAGATGTCAGAGAAAGACTGAAGAGAGAAAAGGCCTTCAGCAATCAGAGAGAAACGACAAGAGAGACAGAACGAGAAAGTACAGCAAGAGGAAAGAGAAAAATACCAAATGTGTATAAGAGAGGAAGAGACAGTATACTAGAGAAAAAGAGAGTCATGTGTGTGTGTTAAAAAGAAATAAATAAATAAAAAGAGTGACTGTCTCAGTCTAAATGAGAGAGAGAGAGACTGTGTGCAGCAGTACTATCAGCTCAGTGCTGTTTATTGAGTGTGTGTCAGGGGGCCGGTGACCCTTTGCTGCCTCCAATTAGAAGTAATTTACCTGCCACGCCCCGCTGGCTCAGCCAATGGTTAGTGGGGAAGTGTCCCAGAACCAAGCCCGGGACAGAGATAAGAGCTCTGTCATTTACCAAAGATTTATGTAAAGCTCACAGATCTGGCAATTAAACTTGGCAACGGTGCAAGACATTTGACAAAGAGGGAGAAAGACGGGGAGAGTGAGATAAAGAGTACTACAGAGGAGCGGGAGAGAGAAGGAGAGAGGAGAGAGAGGGACAGGGGTACCAGAGGAATCCTGCAGTCATGATAATTTACATCAGTTACCAGTTCATAACCCTTGACCTTATCAGCAACAGCAGAAGGCTTGCTAACTGACAGATGAAGAAGTAAAATAGGAGGCATGACATTTAACATGGGGGGATTATCATCTCAATGTTGACTTTTGTTCAGTACTAGTCTCCAATACTATGATGACCATATTCACCACCAACAGAGGTGTGTAAACTGGGTAGCTACCTTACAGCGCGTTCTCTGTAGTCTGTATGGTGACAGACGGACCATACTGTATGTTCTCCTTTCATCAAGTCTGTGGATACTATTTCCCTAATTCCACTTCACTGTATCCATCTCTACTCCTGAGTCCATATCTTCTCTATTGGAACAAAGCAGTGAGGGGAGAGTGGTAAGACACACATCACATAGCTTATGCACACAAAAGCACACACACACACACAGAGAGAAACAAACATGTCCCCGCATGCGTGCACATACAGACTGGAAGGGTTCCCCTGTCTGGTGGATTAGTTCCCCTGTCTGGTGGTTTAGTTCCCCTGTCTGGTGGTTTAGTTCCCCTGTCTGGTGGTTTAGTTCCCCTGTCTGGTGGTTTAGTTCCCCTGTCTGGTGGTTTAGTTCCCCTGTCTGGTGGTTTAGTTCCCCTGTCTGGTGGTTTAGTTCCCCTGTCTGGTGGTTTAGTTTCCCTGTCTGGTGGTTTAGTTCCCCTGTCTGGTGGTTTAGTTCCCCTGTCTGGTGGTTTAGTTCCCCTGTCTGGTGGTTTAGTTCCCCTGTCTGGTGGTTTAGTTCCCCTGTCTGGTGGTTTAGTTCCCCTGTCTGGTGGTTTAGTTTCCCTGTCTGGTGGTTTAGTTCCCCTGTTTGGTGGTTTAGTTTCCCTGTCTGGTGGTTTAGTTCCCCTGTCTGGTGGTTTAGTTTGTTAATCCCAGTCATGTATGGGGGACATGTGGAAGCAGCTTGCTGAGGCTGATAGGAGAATTATGGGGGTTTTAACCAGCTAAATAAATAATTATGTTTGTGTAAATTCCTCAAAAGGATTTGTAATAATATTTTTTTTCTTCATGTCGGCTAAAAGATTTCAGGCGTGAAGAAAGGACTTCTAGCAAGCCTACCGTATGTTCTTTAAAGAAGAAATAAACAAATCCATAGGTGGGTTAAAACAGATGTGTGTGTAGGTGATTTGGTGGTGACAGCCATGATAATATGTTAGCTCTCTCTGACTGTGTTTCTCTCCTAAATACTGTCACCCCCCTCTTTCTCTTTCTGCCTCCTTCTCTCATCCTCTCATCCTCCCACCACCCCCAGCGCTTCCTTAATCCCTCTCACTTTATCACAGCAGACACTCTCCCTACACCCACACAGTCTGCAACACACACACACACACGCACGCACACGCACACACACACACACACACACACACACACACACCACACACACACACACACACACACACACACACACACACACACACACACACACACAGCCATAATTTCCCAATAATACCACTGGTGGCGAACCTAAAAACGGTGATCTACATAATGAGAGGGAGAAAACATGTCACATGGAAAAGTGCAGAGAAAACATGTCACATGGAACTTTCATAGGGTCAGAGGGCTTTGAAAAAGTTTGCAAGGAGAGAGAGGGACAGAGAAGATGAAATGGAAAAAGAGAAGGGAAAGGAGAGAACGAGAGAAAGCGCGAGCGGAGGCATGGAAATGATGGGAGCGTGTCAGCCCTAATGGGTTTGCTGTCTAATCCCCCCCTCTGCTGCAGAAAACAACACAGGAAGTACACATCATGGTTTCTGAAGTTGTCAATCACTGTGAACACGCACGCACACACACACACACACACACACACACACACACACACACACACACACACACACACACACACACACACACACACACACACACACACGCACACACACACGCACACGCACACGCACATGCACAGGCAATGTCAATCATGCTTCAAAGCCATCCCAACTTTAGGTAAACACACCAATGCACTGCATGTCACTGATAAGGCACTTTGGGGGGGGGGGGAATAGTACTCTGTTTGCTTCCGCAGGAGAAAAAAATAGTATTTTTGTTTGCTGCGATTGAGTTTGTGCTCGGTTAAGCTTGAGCTTTGACTGGGCGGCAGAACAAACTGGATGTGCCACACTCAATGCCATGGGCAGAGGAGAAAGGAAGAGAGGAGAAAGGAAGAGAGGAGGAAAAGAGAAGAGGAAGGGCAACGGATCGATACAGCATGACTAGCTCTCTGTAACCAGGAGTTTCAGATCTAACTCAGCTTTAGTTATGTCTCTGCTCAACCCCACTGGGACCACCTCTATCTTCTGCACATCATGTCTCCTTTCTCTCTGTCTTGTCTTTCTGCCACACATGCCCCACCACATACGCACACACATAGTGGACACAGACTCACCGTTATCGACTGCGAGGAAGGTGGCTTCGTAGATGTTGTTTTTGACGTAGATGGACTCTCTGTCCAGGGTTGCCGTGGTGACGATCTGACCGTTGGTGGTGTTGATGGACAGCCACTCAGCTGGGTCGGCCAGTTTAGAATACCTGGACAGACAGAGGGAGGAGGAGAGATGGAGAGGAGGAGAAATGGAGAGGAGGAGATGGGGTTAGAGCAACAGGTTCAAAGAAAGTACACATACTGTACTCACTCTTTATCTGCGAGGAGGAGGAGGGTAGCATGTTAACCCTTTACACTCGTGGGAATTGGCTTATATGGATCGGGCTAAATTGAAATGTTTCTTACAGAAGAAATATGAAAAGCACATGCATAACCATGGTAGCAATTGAAAGGAAACAGTTTGGAGAGTATGGGGAATTTATTAGACCAACGGTGAGTATACAACAGTTCACCTTACACAATCTGAATCCAAACATTACACTGTTGATTTTATGTTAATTTTACATTTACTGTACTTTCTGCCGCATTTGTTTATAACAAAATCTGAAGATACTCTGGATACATTCAGTAACATGATAAGACTATTCCATGAAAATGTGGGGTAGGTGCAACATAAGACAAAAAATTACAAGGGTTTGAGTGAGAGGACTAACTGGTGTCTCCAAGTGGCCACACACCTCTCCAAAGTGTGCATAGTTCTTAAGAAATGTCAATGCACTTCTATGACTCAAAGAAGAGTCTTCAATTATAAGGTGCTTTATAAGTCTTCAATTAAAAGCTCTCAAGGGTCTCAGTGCAGAATTAGACGTTCATCCACATTCTCCAAACGTCACATTTCAAAGTGTTTTATTGCTCCTGCTGCTCTGTATCGTTCCATTTCTCCAAACGTCAAATTTAGAAGTTAATGGTTAAGTTTAGGCACTCATTCTGAATGGTCAAGGTAAGGGTTAAGTGTCCACTACTGGGATTGAACTTGATGGTAATAGCGCTCAATGTTGCCCCCCCCCAGTGGCCAGTTTTGAAGGCATTTTCCGACATCTTCATGACATGGATAGACCTCCAATTTCGCCGTCAATCTTGAACGAACTGTTTAAAAAAAAATGTTGCTCTCCTAGCTGTGCCATTGAGGAACTAGAGCAAACACACTTATAGTATTTTTTTTGGGAAAACAACCCTGCATCCCTGCCCTCACACAATTACTGTCCTTTATGCAATTCAAAAATGGTCCATTATAAATTGCAATCTGGGTAAGGTGAGCATCATCTGAAAGTTCTGTTCTATTGCCATCATGACTAGCTAAGTTATAAAATACGATATTACAGTGTTAGGCTTTGACAATGCAATTCAGGGAAACAGATAATTTTGATGCGCATAGAAAGGAGTCATGTGTGCATTCAGGTGCGTGTGCCGAGGCGAATTTTCTTCACAATAGACAAATATAGGCTAATTCTGTTCAGAACAACCAAGTAACTGTACATCAAACATAGTGATCATAAACGTTGACACTGTATATGACATGAGTTTTATTATATGGAAATGTGACGTGCACATTTGGACTCATGGCTGTTTGGCTTGCTTGTATGACATCAAAGCGATATTTATTGTATTATAATCCTCAACGTCTCATCTTTCAAAATACATGGAGTCATCTTAATTTACAGCATTTCTCTCAGTCAAGACAACAAAACATTTGCAAAAGTTGTCCAATTAGCGTGAGGGATGGGGGCAACTTCTTGTCGCGTGAAGTGCTCAAGTTCAGAATGGCTGTCAGTCAAACCCATACAGCGCTGTGAAGTCACCAAAAATTCTGAAATTTCCATCCCCAACTATAACATTTTCCGTCTAGATAGAACTGCCAAAGGGGGTGGAGTTGCAATCTACTGTAGAGCAGTGGCGGCTCCTGAAAAAATTCTCAGGAGGGGCAATTTTTCTGATGATTTAGGTGACCTACACACATTTTTAAAAAGATATGTCCAGCAACAACATGAAGACAGGGGCAGCATATAAGTCAATACCAGAAGCATTTATTGACTGATCTCAAAAGTGTTGGCTTACAAAAGCAAAATAAGTTATCACAGTAAAAATAATCAAGGGTGTTCTTTCACATTCCTCAACACTGCATAAACAATATGTATGGCTTTGTAAAAATGAACAACCATATTCTGGCCAATTGTATAGATTTGTAAATATGAACAACCATATTCTGGCCAATTGTATAGATTTGTAAAAATGAACATGAACAGATTTTTTTATTTTTTTATTCCTCTTTTTAGTCAGCTTTAGAATGTGTTCATACACTTATGAGCACCACTGTACAGTACACATAGTATATAAAATAAGATAGATTACACCACTGGCCATATATAATGACAATAATGTAATTTCAAACACAAATGCAGTCTCCTTTCATGCATACATTTTCAAATAAAGCTCTGCTTTGAGAAAGATCGAATGATATTGTTTAATCTTTATCTTACCTTATGGCCTGCACACTGCTTGCGAAGCTGTCGAGGGCACGTTTGATAAAGACAGCATCGATGTCCTTATTCTGTAGCTTCTGGTACGGTGGGCTGGTCAAATGAACCCAATGAACCCGTCCGGATGGCTTCAAAACATTCTATGAGGTCGTCTCGATTCTCGTAGACAGTGTTCACGACTCTGCTGTTGCTAACCTCATCGTTGTGGCGGCGGACAGCTAGCCTGTATCCCTCATCCAGTTGAGTGGCAATATTCACTCTCACCAAAGCAGACAATCTCAAACAGCTATCAATGTGGGTCTTTGACAGCTCATTTTTCTTAATCTTTTCTGAAAGATGGTGCATGTCGGTTACACCAGTCGCTGTCCAAGCGTTGCTGTCTGCCGTTCATGGTTACGTTACGTTACGTATGACGAAAGCGCGTAAGTGCAAGCCCTCAGACACCCATAGAGAATGTATTGAAAGCTCAGAAATTTGAAAAAAAAATATTTTACATTAGAGGCTATGAGAGACTTCTGGGCGATTTTCAACCTGACTGAAATCGCCCCAAAACGGGCGGGGACATTTGAAGCACGACTTTAGCCTGATTGGACATTTAGTGGCTGGCAGATCAGACGTGAACACTGAACTACTGTTGCCATGATATAATTGATTAGAAAAAAAATCCCTTCCTTTTCCCGTTTGGCAGTGCGTCGCCCATATCGCCCTATTGAACACACCGCCCATGCTGTAGAGATAGCCTGCAGAGCTCTATCATACTATCCAGGTCTGTGCCCAAACAGTTTGAGCTTCTACTTCTAAAAATCCACCTTTCCAGAAATAAATCTCTCACTGTTGCCGCTTGCTACAGACCCCCCTCAGCCCCCAGCTGTGCCCTGGACACCATATGTGAATTGGTTGCCCCCCATCTATCCTCAGAGTTCGTACTGCTTGGTGACCTAAATTGGGATATGCTTAACACCCCGGCCATCCTACAATCTAAACTAGATGCCCTCAATCTCACACAAATTATCAACGAACCTACCAGGTACAACCCTAAATCCGTAAACATGGGTACCCTCATAGATATCATCCTGACTAACTTACCCTCTAAATACACCTCCTCTGTCTTCAACCAGGATCTCAGCGATCACTGCCTTATTGCCTGCGTCCGTAACGGGTCCGCGGTCAAACGACCACCCCTCATCACTGTCAAACGGTCCCAAAAACACTTCAGCGAGCAGGCCTTCCTAATTGACCTGGCCCAGGTATCCTGGATGGATATAGATCTCATTCCGCCTGGTTGTTCTTTAAAAGTAATTTCCTCTCAATCTTAAATAAACATGCCCCATTCAAAAAATACAGAACTAAGAACAGATATAGCCCCTGGTTCTCCTCAGACTTGACTGCCCTTGACCAGCACAAACACATCCTGTGGCGTACTGCATTAGCATCAAATAGCCCCCACGATATGCAACTTTTCAGGGAAGTTAGGAACCAATATACACAAGCAGTTAGGAAAGCAAAGGCTAACTTTTTCAAACAGAAATTTGCATCCTGTAGCACTAACTCCAAAAAGTTTTGGGACACTGTAAAGTCCATGGAGAATAAGAGCACTTCCTCCCAGCTGCCCACTGCACTGAGGCTAGGAAACACTATCACCACCGATAAATCTACAATAATCGAGAATTTCAACAAGCATTTTGCTACGACTGGCCATGCTTTCCACCTGGCTACCACTACCCCGGCCACCAGCTCTGCACCCTCCGCTGCAACTTGCCCATGCCCCCCCCGCTTCTCCTTCACACAAATCCAGACAGCTGATGTTCTGAAAGAGCTGCAAAATCTGGACCCCTACAAATCATCTGGGCTAGACAATCTGGACCCTTTCTTTCTAAAACTAGCCGCCGAAATTGTCGCAACCCCTATTACTAGCCTGTTCAACCTCTCTTTCGTAACGTCTGAGATCCCCAGAGATTGGAAAGCTGCCGCGGTCATCCCCCTCTTCAAAGGGGGTGACACTCTAGATCCAAACTGTTACAGACCCATATCCATCCTGCCCTTCAAAAGTTTTTGAAAACCAAGTTAACAAACAGATCACCGACCATTTCGAATCCCACCGTACCTTCTCCGCTATGCAATCCGGTTTCCGAGCTGGTCATGGGTGCACTTCAGCCACGCTCAAGGTCCTAAACGATATTATAACCGCGATCGATAATAGACAGTACTGTGCAGCCGTTTTCATTGACCTGGCCAAGGCTTTCGACTCTGTCAACCACCGCATTCTTATTGGCAGACTAAATAGCCTTGGTTTCTCAAATGACTGCCTCGCCTGGTTCACCAACTACCTCTCAGATAGAGTTCAATGTGTCAAATCGGAGGGCCTGTTGTCTGGACCTATGGCAGTCTCTATGGGGGTGCCACAGGGTTCAATTCTTGGGCCGACTCTTTTCTCTGTGTATATCAATGATGTCGCTCTTGCTGCTGGTGACTCTCAGATCCACCTCTACGCAGACGACACCATTTTGTATACATCTGGCCCTTCATTGGACACTGTGTTAACAAACCTCCAAACGAGCTTCAATGCCATACAACACTCCTTCAGTAGCCTCCAACTGCTCTTAAACACTAGTAAAACTAAATGCATGCTCTTCAACCGAACGCTGCTTGCACCCGCCCACCCGACTAGAATCACTACTCTCGACGGGTCTGACCTAGAGTATGTGGACAACTACAAATACCTAGGTGTCTGGTTAGACTGTAACCTCTCCTTCCAGACTCACATTAAGAATCTCCAATCCAAAGTTAAATCTAAAATCGGTTTCCTATTTCGCAACAAAGCCTCCTTCACTCATGCTGCCAAACATGCCCTCGTAAAACTGACTATCCTACCGATCCTTGACTTCGGCGATGTCATTTACAAAATAGCCTCCAACACTCTACTCAGCAAATTGGATGTAGTCTATCACAGTGCCATCCGTTTTGTCTCCAAAGCCCCATATACTACCCACCACTGTGACCTGTACGCTCTTGTTGGCTGGTCCTCACTACATATTCGTCGCCAAACCCACTGGCTCCAGGCCATCTATAAATCACTGCTAGGCAAATCCCCGCCTTATCTTAGCTCATTGGTCACCATAGCAACACCCACCCGTAGTATGCGCTCCAGCAGGTATATCTCACTGGTCATCCCCAAAACCAACACCTCCTTTGGCCGCCATTCCTTCCAGTTCTCTGCTGCCAATGACTGGAACAAATTGCAAAAATCTCTGAAGCTGGAGACACTTATCTCCCTCACTAACTTTAAGCATCAGTTGTCAGAGCACCTTACCGATCACTGCACCTGTACACAGCCCATCTGAAATTAGCCCGCCCAACTACCTCATCCCTATATTGTTATTTATTTTGCTCATTTGTACCCCAGTATCTCTATTTGCACATCATCTCTTGCACATCTATCATTCCAGTGTTAATACTAATTGTAATTATTTTGCACTATAGCCTATTTATTGCCTTACCTCCATAACTTGCTACATTTGCACACACTGTATATATATATTTTTTTTCTGTTGTATTTTTGACTTTGTTTTGTTTTACCCCATATGTAACTCTGTGTTGTTGTTTTTATCGCACTGCTTTGCTTTATCTTGGCCAGGTCGCAGTTGTAAATGAGAACTTGTTCTCAACTGGCTTACCTGGTTGAATAAAGGTGAAGAAAAAAAAAAGAAAAAAAAAAAAAAGTGCAGAGCCAGAGCTCTGATGTCATGTACAGTGCATTCGGAAAGTATTAAGACCCCTTGACTTTTTCCAAATTTTGTTACGTTACAGCCTTATTCTAAAATGGATTAAATTATTTTTTCCCTCATCAATCTACACACAATACCCCATAATGACAAAGCGAAAACAGGTTTTTAGATTTTGTGCAAATGTATTTAAAATAAAAAACAGAAATACCTTATTTACATAAGTATTCAGACCCTTTGCTATGAGACTCGAAATTGAGCTCAGGTGCATCCTGGTTCCATTGATCATCCTTGAGATGTTTCTACAACTTGATTGTAGTCCACCTGTGGTAAATTCAATTGATTGGACATGATTTAGAAAGGCACACACCTGTCTTTATAAGGTCCCACAGTTGACAGTGCATGTCAGAGCAGAAACCAAGCCATGAGGTCAAAGGAATTGTCCTTAGAGCTCCGAGACAGGATTACGTCGAGGCACAGATCTGGGGAAGGGTACCAAAAAATGTCTGCAGCATTGAAGGTCTCCAAGAACACCGTGGCCTCCATCATTCCTAAATGTTAGAAGTTTGGAACAACCAAGACTCTTCCTAGAGTTGGCCGGGGGAGAACGGAATGGAATGTCATTGTTCTCTACATCGGTGTAAATGCACTGATCTAGAGAACACATTCACAGCTGCAAATAGGCTTCAGTGCCTAATACCCATACCCTCCCACTCAGGCTCTCCCACCATGTATACTATGTTCCAGTAGGCTTGCCCTGCACTACGGTAAGTGGGCTAGAGAGCAGGCCTAGCTGCAGGGATGGAGGGATGGAGAGAGAGGGATGGAGGGATTAATCTCCTCTCCCCTGCAGAGAAGGAGGGGTGCTTTTCCCAGCGGGCTAGTGGGCTAGTGGGCTGTATCCCAGGCTCTACACGGCCATGGGAACGGGTTGAGAGGGATGGTCAGCAGGGCTGGCAGCTACCTGCAGACTGGAACTGGCAGCCTGTGAAATCACCACTGGGGAGAGAGCGTGGCCGGCACAGAGGGGGGCAAGGGGATAAAAGAGAGAGGGAGGGGAGAGGGTGGAAAGACAGTAACTAACTTTATTAGGAAGCTGCTGAGGCTTACTGTAGTTGAGGTTAGTATCCCATGGAATCAGATGGAAGATGTTTGGCTTTATATAATGGTCTCTCTCTCTCTCTCTCTCTCTCTCTCTCTCTCTCGCTCTCTCTCACTCTCTCACTCTCTCTCTCCTCTCTCTCACTCTCTCTCTCACTCTCTGCCTATGAATGTGTATTTTTCTCATTGTCTATCTAGGTCTCTGTTTCTGTCTGTCTGTGGAGGAAGGTTCAGGTTGTACTCTGGTTCTCCAGTGGAGGGCAGTCACGCCTGAGAAGGAGAGGCTGGGGCTGGAGTGGCTGAGCAGGAGAGAGAGAAATAAAGAGATAGAGATGGGGAAAGGACAGAGGTGGGACCAATCAGTAGCGGTGTGTGGGTAAAATCACTGAAGAAGCCAAGCCAAGCCAATAAAAAATACATATTACAACCTATGTTGTGATATTTGCGTTGTTTGCTCTATAATCAATTTGTTCATACGCCACCGTGATATACAATAAGGCCATGAGAAGAAAAAGAAAACGTTCACACAGTGAAATAATAAATTAAACTACACATTCTTTGTTTCATCACAAAACCGGAGAGCAACATCTGTCCGGTGAAGTCCACAAAGCAAATATTGCCTGCAGCATGGTCAAGCAAGTTTATGTTTTCGACAGTTTACTAAAAAACAACTGATTTAGAACCACAGAGTTACCACAAGTCAGCATAAAACAGGAGCACTGCCTCCGCTGTTCCAGCACCATTTCAACTTAAACATTTAAACATCATCAAATCAACAAGGCTATATATGCTTAGTTTAATACACTGAAAACAAACTTAAAGACACCAAAAACGATTTAGTCCAATCACCGTTGCAAAATATCATGTGGCTGTCCATACTGATTTCTGTGTGTGTGTGCATGCGTGCAAAACAGATCATGTTGACTCAACTTACTTGTAGACTAGTTGAACGCCAATGCCATCCTCCTCTTTTTCATGTTGGCAAAACAGTCTATGGCTTTGTTTTTGTTATCATAGGCTACCTAGCTAAAATGTTTGCTAGCTAACTTCCTCGCATGGGCAACAATGAACCAGCTAAGTTAGCTAGCTAGTTAACGTGAGCCTACTAGGCTACATCTAGGCTACATATTGAACTTCAATCGTCTCAGGCCAGTGGCACAACATATTCATGGTTAGATCAGAATCACCATCATAATCATTGGCCTGTACAGAGAATTAATTGAAAACCACAAGTCCAAATCCCCATCTCCATCCATGGCTTAGCAAAGGCCAGATTTAGCAAGCTTGCTACTGCAGGACATTAACACAAGCAGACCAGAAACAGACACGTTTGCTTAGAAAGTGATTTGATTAGTGTGAAGCCATATCCAAACTGTCCTCCCTTGGGGGGCGTTTTGCTGCACCAGGACAGCAACGCTGATTGGCTAATTATTTTATAGTTTGTTTTATCAAGGGAGGCCAAATGCTTGCTGGTATCAATCAATCAAATGCTACGGCGGCAACATGTCATACTCTTTTGGTCCAGACAGCATCAGATACATGGGCTACACATACTGAGAGTGAGGGGCGCTGTTTCCTTGCTCGGATGAATTCTCCGGTGAGATTCAGCCACTTGAGAATTGACGAAAAATGATGAAAACACAGAGAGACGAAAGGTAAATTATTTTATAATTTTAATTTTTTTATTGGTCAAATATTTGGGGAAGCCTGGCTTCCCTTGGTGTCCATGAATAGACGCCACTGGGACCAAGTCACTATTATTAGAGTCACAAGCAAGTCTCAAGTCACAAGAGCCAGAAAACATGTTTGCCCGCACTACAGACAGCTATATCGGTCTGCTAATACAGGACTAGTAAAGGCCCAGTACTATTTTTTTGTCATTCAGATTTTTTAGTAGGTGCTGCAGCACCCTCAGTACCCCTTCTTCCAGCAGCTATGCGCACAGGGCGAACGCGCACACAATCGCTGTGCAAATGTAGCCGGTCATTACGGCCATAAATGGTGATGCATTTCCAAAATGCAAGACACAGACATACAGTCGTATGAAAAAGTTTGGGCACCCTTCTGAGGCTGCATAATAATTTACTCTGTCGTCACAGAAAATGATCACAGTGGCATGCCATTCATTTTCTAATAAAAGCTGAGTACTGGGGTATTGTCCAGTCAAATATTTTTTGTGTAGCAATATTAAGTTGTATGAAATTAAATCAGATGTGAAAAATAGGCTATGCAAAAATATGGGCACCCTTGTCATTCTGTTGAATTGATTACCAGTAACTACTTAGCACTGATTAATTGGAACACACAATTGGTTTGGTGAGCTCATTAAGCCTTGAACTTCATAGACAAGTGCATCCAATCATGAGAAAAGGTATTTAAGGTGGCCAATTGCAAGTTGTTGTTCTCTTTGACTCTCCTCTGAAGAGTGGCAACTCTCAAATGACCTGAAAACAAAGATTGTCCAACATTATGGTTTAGGGGAAGGCTACAAAAAGCTATCGCAGAGATGTAAGCTGTCAGTGTCCACTGTGAGGAACATAGTGAGGAAATGGAAGACCACAGGCACATTTCTTGTTAAGCCCAGAAGTGGCAGGCCAAGTAAAATATCGGAGAGGCAAAGGCGAAGGATGGTGAGAACGGTCAAAAACAGCCCACATTCCACCTCCAGAGACCTACAACAACATCTTGCTGCAGATAGTGTCACTGTGCATCGTTCAACAATTCAGCGCACTTTGCACAAGGAGAAGCTGTACGGGAGAGTGATGCGGAAGAAGCCTTTTCTGCACACACGCCACAAACAGAGTCGCTTGAGGTATGCAAACGCACATTTGGACAAGCCAGCTTCATTTTGGAATAAGGTGCTGTGGACTGATGAAACAAAGATTGAGTTATTTGGTCATAACAAGGGGCGTTATGCATGGCGGCAAAAGAACACAGCATTCCAAGAAAAACACTTGCTACCCACAGTAAAATTTGGTGGGGGTTTCATCATGCTGTGGGGCTGTGTGGCCAGTGCCGGTACTGGGAATCTTGTTAAAGTTGAGGATTGCATGGATTCCACTCAATATCAGCAGATTCTTGGGAATAATGTTGAAGAATCAGTCACAAAGTTGAAGTTACGCCGGGGCTGGATATTTCAACAAGACAACGACCCAAAACACTGCTCAAAATCTACCCAGGCATTTATGCAGAGGAACAAGTACAATGTTCTGGAATTGCCATCCCAGTCCCCAGACCTGAATATCATTGAGAATCTGTGGGATGATTTGAAGCGGCCTGTCCATGTTCGGCAACCATCAAACCTAACTGAAGTGGAGATGTTTTGTAAGGAGGAATGGTCCAAAATACCTTCATCCAGAATCCAGACACTCATTAGAGGCTATAGGAAGCATCTAGAGGCTGCTATTTTAGCAAAAGGAGGCTCTACTAAATATTGATGTGATTTTTCTGTTGGGGTGCCCAAATTCATGCACCTGTCTAATTTCGTTTTGATGCATATTGCACATTTTCTGTTAATCCAAAAAACCTAATTTCACTACTGAAATATTACTGTGTCCATCAGTTATTTGATAGATCAAAATGAAATTGCTGATCCAAACACCAATTTTTTATAAATGGAAATCATGGAAATTGTCAGGGATGCCCAAACTTTTTCATATGACTGTAAACTGCGTTTTACACCTGCATTTTGAGCTGAAAGTCATTCATGTTAGAAGTCAATATCAACTAGGGATACGGATATCATGGAAAGCATGATCTGTCTGTAGCTTTTTTCTTACTCACAAATGTCCTAATTAATTTGCCAGAATATGTTACATCTTCATGCCATAAGTATTGAAGGTAGTGCAATGTTACAGCTATCTTTAGACATACTGTATAACCATTACCACCACTGAGGTACATACAGTGGCTTGCGAAAGTATTCACCACCCTTTGCATTTTTCCTATTTTGTTGCTTTACAACCTGGAATTAAAATAGATTTTTGGGGGTTTGTATCATTTGATTTACACAACATGCCTACCACTTTGAAGATGCAAAATATTTTTTGTTGTGAAACAAACAAGAAATAAAACAGAAAACTTGAGCGTGCATAACTATTCACCCCTCCAAAGTCAATACTTTGTAGAGCCACCTTTTGCAGCAATTACAGCTGCATGTCTCTTGGGGTATGTCTCTATAAGCTTGGCACATCTAGCCACTGGGATTTTTGCCCATTCTTCAAGGCAAAACTGCTCCAGCTCCTTCAAGTTGGATGGGTTCTACTGGTGTACAGCAATCTTTAAGTCATACCACAGATTCTCAATTGGATTGAGGTCTGGGATTTGACTAGGCCATTCCAAGACATTTAAATGTTTCCCCTTAAACCACTCGAGTGTTGCTTTAGCAGTATGCTTAGGGTCATTGTCCTGTTGGAAGGTGAACCTCTGTCCCAGTCTCAAATCTTTGGAAACTGAAACAGGTTTCCCTCAAGAATTCCTTCAATTCTGACCAGTTTCCCTGCCGATGAAAAACATCCCCACAGCATGATGCTGCTACCACCATGCTTTACTGTGGGGATGGTGTTCTCGGGGTGATGAGAGGTGTTGGGTTTGCGCCAGACATAGCGTTTTCCTTGATGGCCAAAAAGCTCAATTTTAGTCTCATCTGACCAGAGCATCTCTTCCATATGTTTGGGGAGTCTCCCACATGCCTTTAGGTGAACAACAAACACGTTTGTTAATTTTTTTCTTTAAGCAATGGCTTTTTTCTGGCCACTCTTCCGTAAAGCCCAGCTCTGCGGAGTGTACGGCTTAAAGTGGTCCTATGGACAGATATTCCAATCTCCGCTGTGGAGCTTTGCAGCTCCTTCAGGGTTATCTTTGGTCTCTTTGTTGCCTCTCTGATTAATGCCCTCCTTGCCTGGTCCGTGAGTTTCGGTGGGCAGCCTTCTCTTGGCAGGTTTCTTGTGGTGCCATTTTCTTTTCATTTTTTAATAATGGATTCAGTGGTGCTCCGTGGGATGTTCAAAGTTTCAGATATTTTTTTATAACCCAACACTGATCTGTACTTCTCCACAACTTTGTCCCTGACCTGTTTGGAGAGCTCCTTGGTCTTCATGGTGCCGCTTGCTTGGTGGTGCCCCTTGCTTAGTGGTGTTGCAGACTCTGGGGCCTTTCAGAACAGGTGTATATATACTGAGATCATATGACAGATCATGTGACACTTAGATTGCACACAGGTGGACTTTGTTTAACTAATTATGTGACTTCTGAAGGTAATTGGTTGCACCAGATCTTATTTAGGGGCTTCATAGCAAAGGGGGTCAATACATATGCACGCACCACTTTTCCGTTATTTATTTTTTAGAATTCTTTGAAACAAGTTATTTTTTTCATTTCACTTCACCAATTTGGACTATTTTGTGTATGTCCATTACATGAAATCCAAATAAAAATCAATTTAAATTACAGGTTGTAATGCAACAAAATAGGAAAAACGCTAAGGGGGATGACTACTTTTGCAAGGCACTGTAAATATAACCCACTTAAACTAGGTCTGTCTGAAATACGAAAAAGATCAATGAAATCACCAGGTAGCCTATTGTTGTGGCAAATATTCGTCAGTAGCAGATTGCTAAACAGTACTTTATATTTACTTTATACATAGGCCTACTTTATATGTACTTTATACAGTACTTTATAAGTAGGTAGGCTACTCTGTTTTTGCCAGACAAAACTGGAGAAAATTAACTAAACAAGTGCTTTCTGGTGACTAATCTGGATGTGTGCGCCCGCCTCTGTGTGACAAAGCTGATGACTGGTCATTGGACAACAGTCGAGACGGGCAACTTTTTGGTTCTGAAGCACAAATTAGATATTTTTTAAACAAGAATATGGTGCAATGCCGTAAGCCTGTGTTAGTGACCAGATCGAATAAGCAAAGGTATACATATAAAATATAATTGGTAGGCTATGTAGCCTAATAAAATATGTATGAAAACTATATATTTTTCCAAAACGCAACCCCCCAAAACGTTCTCACTGCGCAAGCTCACCCGACCTGTGTTGATTGACAGTTTGCTGGTCAAATAAGAGTCCCGAAGTCCAAGTCAAGTCTCAAGTTAATTTATTTTCTATCATGTAGAGTCTCAAGTCATACAATTTGTGACTACAGTCAGACTCAAGTCCAAATCATGTGATTCGAGTCCACACCTCTGGGAAAGAGACACACCCTTTTGTCCCTCCCCTCCATTATGGTCACAAAAAGACCAGGTCCTCTCCTTGTTCATCCTTCTCTCTCTCTTTCGCTATCTGGTAACATTAAAAGTGGATTAGAGGCCTGTGATGATAAAAGGCATTACAAAAAGGTCTGCTACCCAAGCCAGACACTCCAACACTACTCTTTAATTAAATCCCTCTAACAGTGCCTAAAACATTTCAAATAAAACATATCAAGTATATTAAGTGCATAATAGTCCTCCAACGCACGTCAATTTCCCCTGCATTGAAGGGACAATCGTGTGTGTAATTAGACATTTTCTTTAAACAATCATGCACATTAAGGGCACCTCAGTGGATTCTGAATGGAGATGTCAATCTGAGCAGCTCGCTTTAAACATCTCTTCCTCTTAATTCATTTATAGTTTGAATGTCAGATTTTCAGCAGCGATTTCATTTGACTGTAAGCTCTAAAGAAGGATGATGTCTCAGATATAAGGGAGTGTGGTGCTTGGTTTTGCCTCGTTGTAAGTATAGCGACTGCATCATTGTCATACCACAGTTCCGCACTGCCTGGGTGATTGGCAGTCGCCATAGCTAACTGCTAATGAAGTGTCACTTCATGTTTCTGTTGGGATGGCAACGGTTGACAGACATTGATATGTTCCAAACTGGCTCAGAGCTATATTTAATTTTTTAAATTGTATTTAACCTTTATTTTATCAGGGAGTCATAATGAGACCAGAAGTCTCTTTTACAGGTGAGCCCTGAATGACATAAATTACAGAAAATACACACAATGCAAGCAGAAAGAAAAACACAGTCATTAAAAACAAAGACATTAATCACTAAAAAGGTCCTCAATCAGCGTTTTGAATTGGCCTAGAGGCACCTAAACATCAAATTTCAGAACATTTTGAAGATTGTTCCACAAATAAGGTGAAAAAAAACTAAAAGCTGATTTACCTAACTCAGTAGAGACCAAAGGAATTTCCAGAGTTAGCCATCCCTGAGACCGGGTGTGGTAGCTCATGTCTAAAGTTTAGTAATGATGTTAGGTACAGTGGGACTTCTTGTAAAAGGGCTTTATAAATGAAAACATAGCAATGTATATGTGACATCAAAGAGGGCCTACCAACTTTTTGGTAGAGAATATTTCAAAAACTAAAAGCATTGTATTTAGGACAAATCATTCACTGAACCCTAAACCTCAACTAAATCTTATAATAAATAATGTGGAAATTGAGCAAGTTGAGGTGACTAAACTTCTTGAAGTAACCCTGGATTGTAAACTGTCATGGTCAAAACATGTTGATACAACAGTAGCTAAGATGGGGAGAAGTCTGTCCATAATAAAGCGCTGCTCTGCCTTTTTAACAACACTATCAACAAGGCAGCTCATACAGGCCCTAGTTTTGTCACACCTGGACTACTGTTCAGTCGTGTGGTCAGGTGCCACAAAGAGGGACTTCGGAAAATTACAATTAGCTCAGAACAGGACAGCATGGCTGGCCCTTGAGTGTACACGGAGAGCTAACATTAATAATATGCATGTAGATCTCTCATGGCTCAAAGTGGAGGAGAGATTGACTTCATCACTACTCGTTTTTGTAAGAAGTGTTGACATGCTGAATGCACCGAGGTGTCTGTTTAAACTACTAGAACACAGTTCGGACATCCATGCATACCCCACAAGACATGCCACCAGAGGTATCTTCACAATCCCCAAGTCCAGAACAGACTATGGGAGGCGCACAGTACTATATAGAGCCATGGCTACACGGAACTCTATTCCACACCAGGTAACTGATGCAAGCAGTAGAATCAGATTTAAAAAATAGATAGAAATACATATCATGGAACAGCAGGGACTGTGAAGAGACACACACAGGCACAGACACACATACACATGATAAGACACGCACTCTACACACACGTACACATGGATTTTGCATTGTAGGTACTGTATGTGATAGTAGAGTAGTGGCCTGAGGGCACACACTTAATGTGTTGTGAAAAGTGTTATGAAATGTAATGTCATGTAATATTTTAGCTTGTATATAACTGCCTTAATGTTGCTGGACCCCAGGAAGAGTAGCTGCTGCCTTGGCAGCAGCTAATGGGGATCTTTAATAAATACAACTGTCGCCCGTAGGAACATCGACTGAATAATCTGCTTTCTACTATTTATCGAGAGGCAGGACCTATTTCTATAGAAGAAGCCCATTTTCATTCTCAGATTCTTAACTAACTCGTCAATATGCTTTTTAAAAGAAAGCTTTTCATCTATCCAGATGCCCAGATACTTGTAAGCAGCGACATGATCAATATGGACACCATCCAAAGTACATATTATGCTTAAATCATCAGAGTTATTTTTATGCGCTCTAGAGAACAACATATACTTCATTTTACCTGCATTCAATACTCATTTGAGGTCAATAAAGTTTTTTCTCTAATACAATGAAGGCAGACTGTAGTTCAGATAGAGCCTGGTCAACCGTGGTGGCAATAGCATACACAACAGTATCATCGGCATACAAGTGTAGGTTACAATGTTTTACAGACAAGTCAATATAGTTAATGTAAACAGTAAAAAGTACAGGACCCATAATCGACCCCTGCGGGACACCTTTCATAATATCCAGGAAACCTGATTTAACACCATCAGTAGATACACATTGACAAGTAATTTTTAAACCAGTTACATGCAGCCTGGTCTAGGCCAATTGAGGAAAGCCACTGAATTAGCAGTGAGTGATCAACAGTATCGAAACCTTTGACAGGTCAATGAAGAGGGCAGCACAATGTTGCCTTTTATCCATACAATTAACCACCATTTATAACTAGGGATGCAGGAGAGATAGTTCTATGACCTGGTCTAAAACCCGACTGATGTACGTTTAGAACACATTTCAAAGATAAGAAAGACCTTAGCTGAGAATTAATCAAGGATTCTAATATTTTATCTAGGTAATTATTTAGGTCACAAGGGTCACCATTTTTGTGAAGGGGGAGTACATGGGCCGCCTTCCAAACCTTGGGGATATTACCAGATATAATCGTCAGGTTAAAAATATGGGTTAATGATTCAGCAATCAGGGGGGCAGAGAGCTGCAGCAAAAATGGATCAAGCATATCAGCCCCAGTCGATTTACATAAATCTTAAGATAGGCATCTAGCACATCACAGATAGTAAATTACTGAAATGAAAACAAAGATTCACTAGAAGTTGACGTGTTAACCGTGGAGTTAGCTAGAGGCTGGCAGAGGGAAGAGCAGTCAATTGACTGTTCAGTGTCAATTAAACCACTGTTTATCTCTAATAAAAAGCCTGCCAAGATAAAATGATGATTAAAAGCATCACTTATCCCCTTCTTCTCAGTTATAATGCCAGTCAGACAGAACTTGCTTAGGCAGGGAAGAAGAGGAATTTGTACGCTTTAGTGCATTTACTCTTTTCCAAAATGTAGAAGTATCACCAGCAGAGTCAGAGATAGAGCTTAAAAAGTAGCTTGATTTAGCTTTCTTAATCGAGATAGTACATATGATTCTCAATTCTCTGAAAAATTGCCAGTCCACTACAGAGTATGTTTTCCTTGCTTTGGCCCAGGTTTGGCCCAGTTTCTCATCTGAATGTGCTCAGACGGCTCAGAAGAAAACCAAGGGTTAGATCTATCTTTCACTCTGAATTTTTTTAAAGGGGCGTGTTTATCTGCCAGATAAATAAATATGGAGGATACATTTTCTAGAGCCAACTCAGGGTCATGAATACAGGAGACAGTGGCTAAATCAGAGTAGAACATGTCATGTAAAAACCTTTGAGGAGAGAACTTTTTAAAATGTATCTTAATTAAATGAGGATTAGTATTTTGCTGTGTCATATCTTTAATACATAGTATGGGACAATGATCACTGAGATCATATGCAAATACTCGACTAGACAAATATTTATGGGGGTTATTAGTAAGAATTAAATCAATCAATGAGGAGTTAAAAGGGTTTTTCACATTTAGCCGTGTGGGTTTTGAGATCAATTGAGTCAGATTAAAATCAGTGCATGTACTCTTAAATTGATCACCTAAAATGACCAACTCCGAGGACAGAAAAGGTGTTAAACACTCAGACATAGCACCAATAGCATCCGCCTTGGCAGCAGGTGGGCAGTAAATCCCAGCAACAAATAAATGTGTATTCTGGTTTGTGGACTCATCTAAAACCAGGAGCTCAAATTTATTGGGCACAGAAATATTTAAAGATTGGGGATGCCATGAAATTCGATTTTACATATATCGCCACTCCTCCCCCTTTCTGTAATCTGTCACATCTATATACATTATAATAATTTACTTCAATGTCTTTATCAGAGACAGAACCATTTAACCATGTTTCCGAGAGAACCAGAATGTCAGGACATGAGTCCTGTACCCAAATGTCAATTGTGTCCATTTTTGTATCATACATTTAGGTGCATTAGCCCAAACCCCCTACGAGATTTAAAGTCAGAGGGAGTATTCAGCTCATTCCCATCAGAGCTAACAGGCATAGGGTCATCTGCAGCTATTTGTTGAGTGAGCTGAGACTTTGCCAAGGTCCATGGCCAACCATGTGAGAGCATTTGACAGACCTCCCCCAAGTCGCTGGATGCAGGGGCTGGGGCGGGAACTGGGAGACCAGTGTTGGCAGAGCTCAGTCCACCCGGATTAAGCTCCCGCCAAAGGAGGGGAGCTGCTGCAGGGGACCGGAGTGGCTGCCAATGCTCCATTCTGGGTGTGCAGAGGAGGCCTTGGTGTGGCTCCTGTTGCAGGGTTGAGCCTGCCATTGGGGGCAGGAGTGTCCCAGGACTGTCCTGGGGATGGGAGTAGGGAGGGTAACCCAAAACTAGCCTGGGAGGGAGGTTATGGGGGGAATTGAGGAGGGTGGTGTGAAGGGCACTGGCGAAGCTCCAAACTCTCAGCATATGAGGGCTGATGATGAGAATGATACATGGTGTGGACTGCATCATGTGATGCACTACCCTCAACAGAGTTTTGCCAGACCCTAGGGTAGTGGTCGGTGCTGTGTAGAGCTGGGCTGAATTGAGCTGTGCTGTGATGGGCCTGGTCTGGTAGAGCTGTGCTGAGGCTGGCTGGGTCTGGTAGAGCTGTGCTGAGGCGGGCCAGGTCTGGTTGAGCTGTACTGTGATGGGCCGGGTCTGCTTGAGCTGTGCTGAGGCGGGCCGGGTCTGGTTGTCTCTCAGATGACTGAAGGGTCTATTTGACTCTTACCAGAGGCTGCCTCAGCATATGTGGGCTGGCGGTGAGGCTGAGGCTGAGGTATGGTCTGGGCTGGGCTGGGATACACTCCTGTTGGCCACTATTTGTCCTACACCTAGAGTAATATGCCATTTTAGCAGACGCTTTTATCCAAAGCGACTTACAGTCATGCGTGCATAACATTTTTTTTGTGTATGGGTGGTCCCGGGGCTCGAACCCACTACCTTGGCGTTACAAGCGCCGTGCTCTACCAGCTGAGCTACAGAGGACCACGTACAGTCCAGTGCTGTGAATGGTTGTATTGGGCTGACCTGAACTGTGTCTGGCACTGCTGGGTTAAGCTGGGCTGGTTCTGGAACCGCTGGGCTGAGCTGGGTTGGTTCTGGCACCGCCGGGCTGAGCTGGTCTGGGTCTAGCGCCGTTGGGTTCGGACATGTTGGTAGGGGCTGGAGATGTCTATGTTGGGCTCAGCTGAGATGAGATTGGCCTCCTCTCTCTCCCTTGATTGCGGGGAAGTGGTGGGGCTTTGTTACTGGCCTGGTATGATTGTGGATCCTTCAGGTTCTTGGCAAAGATTCTGACTCCCTCATGGTCCAGGTATACATGGTCATACAAGTGCTCACATGTCAGGGTGTGGTGGTGAGAGATGCTGACATTTGGTAGTGAGGAGCAGTCCATGGTGATTTTTTGGTTGACATTTTGGATCATTTGCCAGGGGAGATCTTTCCTTGGTAGGAAGTGAAGTGAAGTGATGCAGACAATTACATTGATGGAAGTTACAATCTATCTGCAATATTAAGCTGATCTACCCCCCCCCCCCCCCAAAAAAAAAAAGAAAAGACTAGCTGTAGCCATTGGCGTCGGCTAATGGGGATCCTAATGGGGATCCTAATAAATAAAATAAAATACAAAATTCCGTAATCTTAACTTCAAGTAGGGAGAGGCAGTTCTGGATTCGTTTCACCAATATTGTTTCTGGTGTGCACACAGCTGCTACAGGTGAGGGAGGGAGGGATATACTGTGGGCCTCCTGTTTTGAAGCCCAGGTTTTGGGAGTTGCAGGCATTGTTAGTGGAGACATGTCTGCTCTAGACTGGCCTCAGAGCCTTACATCATTACTGTTCCATTGTTATATATATTAATATTACATTTTGGGGTTGTGTCCACATACAATTGTCTCATGGTCTTGTTTCCAGACATTTTAAGATGTTTGTTTGCCTTGCACAGGGCTGCATGCCAAGCATTTGGACATTCAGTGAAAATTTGATTTCTTTGTATTTTTGTTGCATAAAGTCTACTCTTAGGGTCTCTGGGTGTTCTTTTAAAACCTTTGCTTAATATTTTGTCCTCCCTGCTTCACTGGCAATACCTTCTGCATATTGGATTGCAAGGTTGGTGAGTTTGGGGCTTGTAAATGTATCCATCTTAGTTGATTACAGCTGGATACAGTATACTGTATGTTACAGCTGGATACAGTATACTGTATGTTACAGCTGGATACAGTATACTGTATGTTACAGCTGGATACAGTATACTGTATGTTACAGCTGGATACAGTATACTGTATGTTACAGCTGGATACAGTATACTGTATGTTACAGCTGGATACAGTATACTGTATGTTACAGCTGATACAGTATACTGTATGTTACAGCTGGATACAGGTATACTGTATGTTACAGCTGGATACAGTATACTGTATGTTACAGCTGGATACAGGTATACTGTATGTTACAGCTGGATACAGTATACTGTATGTTACAGCTGGATACAGTATACTGTATGTTACAGCTGGATACAGTATACTGTATGTTACAGCTGGATACAGTATACTGTATGTTACAGCTGGATACAGTATACTGTATGTTACAGCTGGATACAGTATACTGTATGTTACAGCTGGATACAGTATACTGTATGTTACAGCTGGATACAGTATACTGTATGTTACAGCTGGATACAGTATACTGTTATGTTTACAGCTGGATACAGTATACTGTATGTTACAGCTGGATACAGTATACTGTATGTTACAGCTGGATACAGTATACTGTAATGTTTACAGCTGGATACAGTATACTGTATGTTTACAGCTGGATACAGTATACTGTATGTTACAGCGGTACAGTATACTGTATTACAGCTGGATACAGTATACTGTATGTTACAGCTGGATACAGTATACTGTATGTTACAGCTGGATACAGTATACTGTATGTTACAGCTGGATACAGTATACTGTGTAAGTGTACAGCTTGGATACAGTATACTGTATGTTACAGCTGGATACAGTATACTGTATGTTACAGCTGGATACAGTATACTGTATGTTACAGCTGGATACAGTATACTGTATGTTACAGCTGGATACAGTATACTGTATGTTACAGCTGGATACAGTATACTGATGTTACAGCTGGATACAGTATACTGATGTTACAGCTGGATACAGTATACTGCATGTTACAGCTGGATACAGTATACTGTATGTTACAGCTGGATACAGTATACTGCATGTTACAGCTGGATACAGTATACTGCATGTTACAGCTGGATACAGTATACTGCATGTTACAGCTGGATACAGTATACTGTATGTTACAGCTGGATACAGTATACTGCATGTTACAGCTGGATACAGTATACTGCATGTTACAGCTGGATACAGTATACTGTATGTTACAGCTGGATACAGTTATACTGCATGTTACAGCTGGATACAGTATACTTGTATGTTACAGCTGGATACAGTATACTGCATGTTACAGCTGGATACAGTATACTGCATGGTTACAGCTGGATACCAGGGATACTGCATGTTACAGCTGGATACAGTATACTGCATGTTACAGCTGGATACAGTATACTGTATGTTACCGCTGGATACAGTATGTTACAGCTGGATACAGTATACTGTATGTTACAGCTGGATACAGTATACTGTATGTTACAGCTGGATACAGTATACTGTATGTTACAGCTGGATACAGTATACTGTATGTTACAGCTGGATACAGTATACTGTATGTTACAGCTGGATACAGTATACTGTATGTTACAGCTGGATACAGTATACTGTATGTTACAGCTGGATACAGTATACTGTATGTTACAGCTGGATACAGTATACTGCATGTTACAGCTGGATACAGTATACTGTATGTTACAGCTGGATACAGTATACTGTATGTTACAGCTGGATACAGTATACTGTATGTTACAGCTGGATACAGTATACTGTATGTTACAGCTGGATACAGTATACTGTATGTTACAGCTGGATACAGTATACTGTATGTTACAGCTGGATACAGTATACTGTATGTTACAGCTGGATACAGTATACTGTATGTTACAGCTGGATACAGTATACTGCATGTTACAGCTGGATACAGTATACTGTATGTTACAGCTGGATACAGTATACTGTATGTTACAGCTGGATACAGTATACTGTATGTTACAGCTGGATACAGTATACTGTATGTTACAGCTGGATACAGTATACTGTATGTTACAGCTGGATACAGTATACTGCATGTTACAGCTGGATACATATACTGTATGTTACAGCTGGATACAGTATACTGCATGTTACAGCTGGATACAGTATACTGTTATGGTTACAGCTGGATACAGTATATACTGTATGTTTACCAGCTGGATACGGTATACTGTATGTTACAGCTTGGATACAGTATACTGTATGTTATCAGCTGGGATACAGTATACTGCATTGTACGTGGTACAGTATACTGGTTTTACAGCTTGGATACAGTATACTGCATGTTACAGCTGGTACATTAGCTGCATGTTTCGCTGGATACAGTATACTGGTATGTTACAGCTGGAGTACAAGTAATACTGTAATGGTTACAGGCTGGATACAGTATACTGTATGGTTACAGCTGGATATTCAGTATACTGTTATGTTACAGCTGGATACAGTCATTACTGTATGTTACAGCTGGATACAGTATACCTGTATGTTTACAGCGGGGATTACAGGATACGTATGTTACAGCTGGATACAGTATACTGATATGTACAGCTGAGTACAGTATACTGCTATGTTAACAGCTGGATACAGTTATACTGTAATGTTTACAGCTGGATACAGTATACTGCATGGTTACAGCTGGATTACAGTATACTGCATACGTTGTTACAGTGATACAGTATACTGTATGTTACAGCTGGATACAGTATACTGTATGTTACAGCTGGATACAGTATACTGTATGTTACAGCTGGATACAGTATACTGTATGTTACAGCTGGATACAGTATACTGTATGTTACAGCTGGATACAGTATACTGTATGTTACAGCTGGATACAGTATACTGTATGTTACAGCTGATACAGTATACTGTATGTTACAGCTGGATACAGTATACTGTATGTTACAGCTGGATACAGTATACTGTATGTTACAGCTGGATACAGTATACTGTATGTTACAGCTGGATACAGTATACTGTATGTTACAGCTGGATACAGTATACTGTATTTACAGCTGGATACAGTATACTGTATGTTACAGCTGGATACAGTATACTGTATGTTACAGCTGGATACAGTATACTGTATGTTACAGCTGGATACAGTATACTGTATGTTACAGCTGGATACAGTATACTGTATGTTACAGCTGGGCTGGATACAGTATACTGTATGTTTACAGCTGGATACAGTATACTGTATGTTACAGCTGGATACAGTATACTGTATGTTACAGCTGGATACAGTATACTGTATGTTACAGCTGGATACAGTATACTGTATGTTACAGCTGGATACAGTATACTGTATGTTACAGCTGGATACAGTATACTGTATGTTACAGCTGGATACAGTATACTGTATGTTACAGCTGGTTTGCACTTGGCTAGTTGTAGCTTGGCATTTTTTTTATGTAAACAAAGCCTACCTTTCTTGTTTTTTTGTCTGAATTGTTTTAAATTACCTTGTGTAAGGTTATGTACTAGTTTTCCTGTCTTTTGTCCTGTCCTTTGTCCTTTTTGATTGTCCTTTTTGTTATTTGTTACCTAGGTTTTTTTTTTGCTAACAGCAGGTAGCCAGTAGCGAGAAACTCTTAGCAACTCCCTAGCAATGTGTAAATAACTGTTAGCTTGTTAGCTATCTTCTGATGTTATACTCTTAGTTCTTCTTCCTTTATCTTTCACTCGTTTTTCTCAAATGTACTCTTCCTCTAAATCATTTCAAATATGATATATAATACTAGATATTAGGAGCTCATCATTTTACCAGCTGCTCTTGGAACTTGGAACTTGGAACCTAGAATTTAGAATTTACCCAACGGATCTCAGTCACCCACCACCCAACCTTCACTGATCCCACATGATTCACACACACACACTAAATAAACACACACTAAATAAACACACACATGCAACACCACATAGACCTAAACACAGCAGCTGATGGGTGTGTCAGTGTGTGACATCAGACACTCTCTGTATGAGGCCAGATGGGAGAGAACCATCATCAGGACAACACAGACTACTGCTGCCTTCTCCAACTGACACGGCTGGAGGGAATGTGCTTTTCAAGTAACAACGATCTGGTTTGGTTGGCCAGAGTGAATTCTTTGATTTAATTGCTGATTTAAAACCTAGTGAAACAGTTTGATTAGTTGGAGTCAGTTTTATGATTACGTTTATTTGGTTCTTATTGCTTCTCTACTGTCTGGAACTTAAAGTCTGTGTTTGCTCTGGTGCTTTGAAAGACACAAAGGATAAGTAAAATGTATATAAAGTCTTAATATTCAGTTATACAATTCCAATGTCTTCATATAATACCTTGATCACTCTCTCTATGGCCCTGTGTAGCTCGGTTGGTAGAGCATGGCGCTTGCAACGCCAGGGTTGTGGGTTCGTTTCCCACGGGGGGCCAGTATGAAAAAATTTATGCACTCACTAACTGTAAGTCGCTCTGGATAAGAGCGTCTGCTAAATGACTAAAATGTAATGTACAGTGGCTTGCGAAAGTATTCACCCCCCTTGGCAAAGTCAATACTTTGTAGAGCCACCTTTTGCAGCAATTACAGCTGCATGTCTCTTGGGGTATGTCTCTATAAGCTTGGCACATCTAGCCACTGGGCATAGACATAGCGTTTTCCTTGATGGCCAAAAAGCTCAATTTTAGTCTCATCTGACCAGAGTACCTTCTTCCATATGTTTGGGGGTGAACACCAAACATGTTTGTTTATTTTTTTCTTTAAGCAATGGCTTTTTGTGGCCACTCTTCCGTAAAGCCCAGCTCTGTGGAGTGTATGGCTTAAAGTGGTTCTATGGACAGATACTCCAACCTCCGCTGTGGAGCTTTGCAGCTCCTTCGGGGTTATCTTTGGTCTCTTTGTTGCCTCTCTGATTAATGCCCTCCTTGCCTGGTCCGTGAGTTTTGGTGGGCGACCCTCTCTTGGTAGGTTTGTTGTGGTGCCATATTATTTCAATTTTTTAATAATGCATTTAATGTTGCTCCGTGGGATGTTCAAAGTTTCAGATATTTTTTATAACCCAACCCTGATCTGTACTTCTCTACAACTTTGTCCCTGACCTGTTTGGAGAGCTCCTTGGTCTTCATGGTGCCGCTCGCTTGGTGGTGCCCCTTGCTTAATGGTGTTGCAGACTCTGGGGCCTTTCAGAAGAGGTGTATATATACTGAGATCATGTGACAGATCATGTGACACTTAGATTGCACACAGGTGGACTTTATTTAACTAATTATGTGACTTCTGAAGGTAATTGGTTGCACCAGATCCTATTTAGGGGCTTCATAGTAAAGGGGGTGAATACATATGCACGCACCACTTTTCCGTTATTTATTTTTCTAGAATTTCTTGAAACAAGTAATTTTTTTAATTCCACTTCATCAATTTGGACTATTTTGTGTATGTCCATTACATGAAATCCAAATAAAGATCCATTTAAATTACAGGTTGTAATGCAACAAAATAGGAAAAACGCCAAGGGGATGAATACTTTTGCAAGGCAATGTATATCCAGGTTGGTGGTACCAGAAAGTGGGTGTGAGGAGTGAATAAGATCTAGTATGAAGTCTGGTGGGGTTAGTGATGCTAGTGGTAGAGGAAGCCTGTCCCTGAGAATCAAAAATGCATATCCTCCTAGCCTTCCTCCAGCCCATGCAGGGTGGTCTACCATGCTAGTGGTAGAGGAAGCCCCTAAACCTCCCCCTAGAACTCACTGCCTGCCACTGGTCTGAAGTAAAAATCATTGGAAGATGGAATTAAAATGGCGGAATTTAAAGGAGAAGGATAGGCTACAACGACCAAGAGCCAACAGGTAGGCTGCTACTTAATATTCTGAATGGAGTTTTTGTAACTGTAGGATGAAAAAGCGAATGCACTGCAGCCTCAATTAGCCTAGCTAGATAATGTTAGCTTCTCCCGGTTTGAATGTGATCATATTTTATGATAAATAACCTTGCTATGGCAGCTATTAGTCTACTATAGCGTGAGTCGGCATGGTTGTTTGCTGTCTCTCCCTCCCTCCTGCTCCCTGTGTCACTCGCTCACAGTACGGCCCCTTCCCCGCCTGCTAGAGCTGCACCTCTTTCTCCCTCCTCTCACACTTTATCAGCTCCAATAAATAAAGTAGCTTAAAAAATGACTTTTCTGCTGCTTCCCTCACTCAGATCGGTCCGGGTCTGGATCCAACCAGGTCTATACGGAACTGGTCTAGTTGTCCTCGGGTCTGTTCGGAACGGGTCTCTATATTGAAATGCATATTGGGTCCAGGTGGGAAAGCCCAAGGTTAATTTCGGAAATTTCGTGAAGACCTCTACTGTCAAGTTCTAGCCCTGACCTCCCCTCTCTCAACTCTCCAAACCTCCCGTGCCCCTGCTTTTCCTTGACCTTTTCTCACTCTTCTTCCCTTCTATCTTGTTCGTTACCTTTCCCTTTCTCTTATTTATCAGCTCCCCTCCGCTTTCCTACATTTTCCTACACTTTTTCAGCCATCTCCCTCAGTCACATAGAGATATTGCTGATCTTAGATCAGCTGTTACAGAATCAATTGTGACAATATGCTAGCTAGTCAATAGAGACACAAACTCTGCGCATTGGTTAAAGAAGGGGGTTTCTGATCAAAAGTTTCAACTGATAATGAAAAAAACACTACAGTAAATACTAAAGTATATACTACAGTTTTCTTTTACTACAGTATTTATACTATAGTTAACTGTAAATACTACAGTATACTACAGTAAATACTACAGTACAGTTCGCAAAAACACTACAGTGAATACTATAGTATTTTTTTTCATGTGGGGGACTACAGTACAGATGAAACCACATTGGAGGCTGAGGTGGACAAACTGTCCCACTAGTTTGTTAAGGCTCTAGGGAGGGACTATGGTAAATCATGCTGGATGGGCAGCAGAATTGATTGAGTATCAGTGTATGCGTGTGTGTGTGTCTGTGTATGTGAGAGAGAGAAAGAAAGAGAGAGGGGTTTGGAGAGCGAGAGAGAAAGAGGGAGCAAGAGAGAGAGGGAGAGAGCGAGTGAGTGTGTGTGTGTGAGTTTGAATGTGTGTAGCAGACCGTGACAGAACATGGTGTGCCTCTGCTAGCCAAACTTATCTCCAAGATGTACTGCAGGCTGAAACTGGTGTACGGAAAAGGAAGGGCAGATCGAGAGAGAGGGAAAAGAAGGAGGGGGAGAGGGAAAGCAAAGAGAGAGGAGAGAGGGTGCTGTAGCAAGATACAGAGCCCAGCTGGTACAACCCCAATTTACTCTAATTTGCTGTGAAATTAACTGGCAAATTTGTTTCGATCTTTTTCGAGAGAGAGAGAGAGAGAGCGGGAGGAGAGAAAGACCCGAAGACGAGAGAGAGACGGCGGAATTTCCCCCTTTAAAACCCTGAAAACTTTTTCCCCCTCCCCCCCCCCTTTTTCCGGGGGGCCCCCCTTTTTTCCAATCCTGATTTCCCTGTTTTTTCCCCAAGAAACTGATTTGGCCGTGGTCCTACCCCTGGCGCCCGGGGCCTCGGCTGCCCCGGCCCCGCGGTGTGGTTTTCCCCCGGTTTTTTTCTTTCCTGGGCCCCCGGGGGGCCCGGGGATGCCTTTTGCCGGGGTTGGGGGCCGGCCGGGCTTTTCTTCCGTCCCCCCCGCGGGCGGCGTCTGGCGCGGTTTCTGGGTCCTCTGGGGCCCTTCCTGGGGCGCCTTTTTTTTCGTTTTGGTTTTCGGGTTTGGGGGGGGGGGGCGCCCCCGGGGCCGGGGCCCGGCACCACCCTTCCCTGGTTTGGGGGGTTTTTTGGGGCCTGGGGCGGGTTGGGGGTGGAGGAGGGGGAAAACCCCCAAAACCCTTCACACGGGGAAAAAAGTCTCTTGGGGGAAGGGAAGTAAACCCGTGTGTATGGGGAATCAACCCTAAAACATTTTAGATTCACAAACAGTTAAAAAAAAAACCCCCCTTTTTGGGAAACCCCGGGAACCCCGGTATACGAGTTCTGTGTCAGGCATTTTGGGGTGGGGGGGCCCGGTTCTTGGGGGTTTTTTTGTTTTGGAAAAATTGTGTTTTGTCCCCTATCATAACCCTTTAAAAAATACACATGGCTCTTATTAACCCCGGGGGGCCCGTGCTCCTCATTAACCCCTTTTCGCAGTTTTCCCCCTGCTGGCCAAAAGGGGCTGGCAAATCTGGGGCCCCACGAGAGACGGGCACCATTTTTTTCTCCCCTCTAAGAGAGGGGGAGAGGGAGGAGGGGGGGGGGAAAAGGGGGGAAAGGAAGGGAGCAAGGGGGGCCCATTCCTTTTTTTCTTTTTCTCTTTTTCTTCTCTTTTTCTCTTTTTCTCTCTTTTCTTTTTATTCCTTTTTTTTCTTTTATTTTTTCTTTTTTCTTTCTTTGGGCTCTCTTTAAGTTTTTCTTTCATTTCCCCCTTTTTCCCTCCCCGGGGTCCCCTTTTTTCTCTTTTTCTAGGGGGTTTCTCTCTATATCTCCCGGGGTCTCTCTCTCTTCCTCTTTTTCTCTTCCTTCCTTTTCCCCGGGTTTGGGATTGTTCCCCAACTGGACCCTTAAATTTTAACCCGTACATTTTTTTTAAGGGGGTTTTAGGGGGGGGGCGCCCCGGCTTTGGCTGAAAAAGGTGGTTAAAGAGCGAGAGGGTGTGTGTGTGTGTGCATTTAATGTTTGGTTGTGTTTTGTGAGTGTGTGTAAAAAGTGTGGGGTTTTTGTTGTGTGTTAGAAGTGTTCTGTGTGCAATTGGGGTGTAGGTACGGGGGGCCCTTTTGTCCAGCACCTGATCTCTGCCATGAAAACGGTCAAGGGGCGCTGGTGAGAGGTGGTTTAGAGAGGTCCCCCAGGGGCAAACCCTTTCCCCAAAGGGGGATGGAAATTGGGGGTTTGGGGGGGAAGAAAGGGGGGGGTTCATTGAGTTTTAAAAAAGAGAGGTGAAACCCGGGTTTTGGACTTGGGGGGACGACGGATCCCACTGGGCCCCGGGCCTTTTTATTTCCACCACCCTCAAAATTGGAAAGCCCTTTTATTTCCAAAAAATTCCCCCCCCTTTGGGGGGAAAGGGGTGAGTTTTTAAATTAGGATTTTTTTTTTTTTTTTTTTGAGAGGAAGGGAGGTTTTTTTTTTTGGTTTAGGAAAATTGTCTAAAATGGGCCAAAAGGGGTAAAAGTCAATCACACATGAGTGACAGAAGAAGTTTAGAGAAAAAGAGGTGAAGCTGTAGCAAAAGAATACAAAAAGAAGAAAATATAAGAGAGGAGGCAGGAGAGATAGAGATAATAAAATAATACTAGGAAGGGGCGTAGTCAAATAAAATGAGAAAAAGAAAGAAAGAAAGAAACCCTACACTATGGTTAGAATAAATACATGGGAGAGAAATCAAGAGAGAGATCAAACTGTGTGATATCTAACCCCCCCATCCCCAGAACACTTAAACATTTTCCTCCAGTTCCTCTGTCCCTCTATCCTCCACCTGCAGCCCTTGAGAGAGAGAGAGGAGAGAGAGAGAGAGAGAGAGAGAGAGAGAGAGAGAGAGAGCGCAGAGCGGACCCCTGTTGATGATAAAGGAAGCAATGAACAGTCCGGGTGCTGAGCAGCGCTAACTCTGCACTAGCTGGGATGAATTGGAACAGCGTTATCGCTAAACTTAGAGGGACCTCTGCACCCCTACCTGTAATTACCCTGCTAACACTGAGTGGGTTAGGCAGGTCTTAAACTATTCATGGACCGGCTGCCATCGTGGCTGGGTAGACTCCCCTCACCGTGTGTGTGTGCATGCGTGGGTATATGTGTGTGTGTCGGCTAGCTCCAGACACCTACACGGCGGTCTGTCGTGTGAGCCTAAAACGAAGTGACAGCTCTGGCCTGGCTTAATGACAACAACACAATCACAGATTCAGGTAACCAGCAGAAATACACAGAACAAATATGTTAGTTATTGCGTGATGCTGGCTGGCTCTGAGTACAGATAGCAATCCGGTTGATGATTAGCGTTAGTGTTAACGGACGCGGCGGGCGACGATATAAAAGCATTCATAATAAAGCAGCCAGAGTGAAGAGGGGATTGGATCTGACAGATGCCATGGTGGTGTGTGTGTGTGCGTGCATGCCTGCGTGTGTGTGTACTGATCATGAGAAGAGGAGGCTGGTGTTGATGTGCCCTTTCCTTCTATCTGTGTATGTGTATGGGATGGGATGGGGGGGGGTGTACTGGGGCCCTATCAGAAGGCTGAATGTACTTGGAGCTCTTTGATCCATAGCCAGTGGTGCAGTGCTCCCCCTCCCTCTTTTCTTTAGCCAGTGGTGCAGTGCTCCCCCTCCCTCTTTTCTTTAGCCAGTGGTGCAGTGCTCCCCCTCCCCCTCCCTCTTTTCTTTAGCCAGTGGTGCAGTTCTCCCCCTCCCCCTTTTCTTTAGCCAGTGGTGCAGTGCTCCCCCTCCCCCCTCCCTCTTTTCTTTAGCCAGTGGTGCAGTGCTCCCCCTCCCCCTTTTCTTTAGCCAGTGGTGCAGTGCTCCCCCTCCCCCCTCCCTCTTTTCTTTAGCCAGTGGTGCAGTGCTCCCCCTCCCCCCTCCCCCTTTTCTTTAGCCAGTGGTGCAGTGCTCCCCCTCCCCCCTCCCTCTTTTCTTTAGCCAGTGGTGCAGTGCTCCCCCCCCCCCCCCCCCCTCCCTCTTTTCTTTAGCCAGTGGTGCAGTGCTCCCCCTCCCCCTCCCCTCCCTCTTTTCTTTAGCCAGTGGTGCAGTGCTCCCCCTCCCCCTCCCTCTTTTATTTAGCCAGTGGTTCAGTGCTCCCCCTCCCCCTCCCTCTTTTCTTTAGCCAGTGGTGCAGTGCTCCCCCTCCCCCTCTCCCTCCCTCTTTTATTTTTGTCCTGTGCTCTTCATCCCCTCTCCTCCAACTGCTTCCCTTCCCCTGCTCCCTCTTCTCTTCCCTCCCTCCCTCCCCTTCCTTCCTTCCTTCCTCTTCCTTCCCCATCCTCCTCCTATCACCTACCCTTCCTCCACTCCTCATCACCAGCTCTCTTATCCTCCCCTTCTCCTTTCCTTTCCTCTCTCTGGCGTGTAGTCACCCCTGTCATTTCCTGTGTTCATCACAAACTTTAATTTACATATCCTAATGACTTATTAAAGGCAAATGTGTATGTGGGTGTGTGTGTAGGTTTGTGTGCGTAAGTACGTGCGCATGTTTGTGCATGTTTGTCTGTTTGTGTGGTGCCTCTGTTTTAATCCAGGATTTAAATGTACCCTTATTGGTTCCCCAGAGAGTTCTCTAACTGTGCAGGTTAAGACCTCAGTCCATGTTTATAGAGCAGCCATGGTCCCAGGTGGGCTGTCAAAGTAAACTTGTGAGAGATGTCAGTGTGTTCTGCTGATGTGGCTCCACTAGCAGCCAGAGAGGTCTTCTCGGAAAAACCATCCCACATCAATTCAAATATGTCTCAGTGATGTTTCCCTGTTTCCCTGCTACCTATGCGTTGAAGTTTTTCTGATGTGAAACCGATTAGAGTCGGCAGCCATTCCTGGCTCTTATTTTATGATTTCAGATCAGGGAGCGAATGGAGTGGAAAAGGATTGTAAAAGCCGAGAGATGTTGAAGAGAAGCAAAAGGACAGTGCTCTCTGCTGGAGGTGCTAGGGGAATTAGACAGGTGTTATTGTAAGATATCAGCTCTGAGTGACACACACAGTGGAATAGGCAGAGGAATACCACTGGCTCTGCAGGGATAGCTCATAACACTAGTCAAATATACACACCATATACACTATACCTGCACACACGCGCACGCATGCACGCACACACCCATTCTCAGTTTAGTTTTCCCCTTAGGCCCTTACAAGACACGGCTGTGTTGTTGATGCACCCATTTACCACAGGTGCATAAAAACCACTGCGATTGTAATTGAGAAATCAATATCTAATTTTCTGCAATGGTCTTAGTAGCCATTGTTTGTGTGTGTGTGTGTGTGTCTGCAGGAATTCACGGTTTGTGTGTGCGTGCGTGTGTATGCGTACGTGCATGGCCTTGAGAAGGACCTGCTGGCCGTTATCCTATCCCTCATGTAGACTTTTCTAGGGGGTTTCAAAGTCAAATCTCCCATTCTGTTGTGTCCTTACCTGCCCCCCAGCCTATAGACAGAGTACAGCCTGGGGCTTACACTCAGTGGCTTATACATTGAGTGTACAAAACATTAAGGACACCTGACATAGACATAGACTGACCAGGTGAATCCAGGTGAAAGCTATGATCCCTTATTGATGTCACTTAAAACCACTTCATCAGTGTAGGTTAAAGAAGGATTTTTAAACCTAGAGACAATTGAGATATGGATTGTGTGTGAGTGCCATTCAGAGGGTGAATGGGCAAGACAAAATATTGAAGTGCCTTTGAACGGGGTATGGTAGTAGGTGCCAGGCGCACCGGTTTGTGTCAAGAACTGCAATGCTGCTGGGTTTTTCTCGCTCAACAGTTTCCCATGTGTATTAAGAATGGTCCACCACCCAAAGGACATCCAGCCAACTTGACACAACTGTGGGAAGCATTGGAGTCAACATGGGCCAACATCCCTGTGGAACGCTTCCAACACCTTGTAGAGTCCATGCCCTTATGAATTTAGGCTGTTCTGAGGGCAAAAAAGGGGGAGGGGGGGATGTGCAACTCAATATTAGGAGGGTGTTCTTAATGTTTTGTACACTCGGTGTAGATCTGACATTACATTTACATTTTAGTCATTTAGCAGATGCTCTTATCCAGAGCGATTTACAGTTAGTGAGTGCATACATTTTTCATACTGGTCACTTTAATAATGTTTACATAGTGTTTATCGTTCTGAAATTTTTTCTGTAGTTAGAAACAGATCAGATTAGCATTCCTGCAACATTATTTTTGTTGAAATGTTATTTGATCTCTGAGAAATTAAGATAATTGATTACTCACTTTCTACAGTGCATCTACAAAGTATTCAGACCCCTTTACTTTTTCCACATTTTGTTACGTTACAGCCTTATTCTAAAATTGCTTTAAAAAATAAATAATCCTCAGCAATCTACACACAATACCCCATAATGACAAAGCAAAAACAACTTGATTGGTCCAGCTGTGGTAAATTCAATTGATTGGACATAATTTGGAAAGGCACACACCTGTCTATATAAGGTCCCACAGTTGACAGTGCATGTCAGAGCAAAAGCCATGAGGTCCAAGGAATTGTCCGTAGAGCTCCGAGACATGATTGTGTCAAGGCACAGACCTGGGGAAGGGTACCAAAATAATTCTGCAGCATTGAAGGTCCCCAAGAAGACAGTGGCCTCCATCATTCTTAAATGGAAGTAGTTTGGAACCACCAAGATTCTTCCTAGAGCTGGCCACCCGGCCAAACTGAGCAATCGGGGGAGAAGGGTCAGGGAGGTGACCAAGAACCCGATGGTCACTCTGACAGAGCTCTAGAGTTCCTCTGTGGAGAAGGAAGAAACTTCCAGAAGGACAACCATATCTCCAGCACTCCACCAATCAGGCCTTAACGGTGGAGTGGCCAAACGGAAGCCACTCTTCATAAAAGGCACATGACAGCCCACATGGAGTTTGCCAAAAGGCACCTAAAGGACTCTCAGACTATGAGAAACAAGATTCTCTGGTCTGATGAAACCAAGATTGAACTCTTTGGCCTGAATGCAAAGCGTCACATCCTGAGGAAACCTAGCACCATCCCTACGGTGAAGCATGGTGGTGGCAGCATCATGCTGTGGGGATGTTTTTCAGTGGCAGGGACTGGGAGACTAGTCAGGATCGAGGGAAAGATGAACGGAGCAAAGTACAGAGAGATCCTTGATGAAGACCTGCTCCAGAGTGCTCAGGACCTCAGACTGGGGCAAAGGTTCACTTTCCAACAGGACAACGACCCTAAGCACACAGCCAAGACAACGCAGGAGTGGCTTCGGGACAAGTCTCTGAATGTCCTTGAGTGGCCCAGCCAGAGCCTGGACTTTAACCCAATTGAACATCTCTGGAGAGACCTGAAAATAGCTGTGCAGCAACGCTCCCCATCCAACCTGACAGAGCTTGAGAGGATCTGCAGAGAAGAATGCGAGAAACTCCCCAAATACAGGTGTGCCAAGCTTGTAGCGTCATACCCAAGACGACTTGATGCTGTAATCGCTGCCAAAGGTGCTTCAACAAAGTACTGAGTAAAGGGTCTGAGTACTTATGTAAATGTCATATTTCCGTTTTTTATTTGTTGTAAATGTGAAGAAAAAAATCTAAAAACCTGTTTTTGCTTTGTCATTATGGGGTATTGTGTGTAGATTGTTGAGGGGGGTAAAAAAAAGTATCAATTTTATGTGGAAAAAGTCAAGGGGTCTGAATACTTTCCGAAGGCATTGTACGTGCATACTGTATTCTCGACATAGCTCATCCTATATACTGTAACTACTGCTGTACATACCTTTTCCTACTTATACTGTATATTGCCCATACTGTCTATACACACCACGGATCTATATTCAGGACTCTGACATTGCTCCTTCTGATATTGCTCGTTCTGAGTTAAATGCTAAAATGTAATCTAGGTAATCCCCAGGAGTAATTATTTATCATGAGAGGGCCATTAACAATAACTAATAATGCTGCATACTCCAAGAAAGTGTAAAATTTCACCATTCTGGTAAAAATAGTTATAAATTGCTGAGGTGTAGTCACTTTTGAGGACTCAAGCTCTTCTTGTTTCTTCTTTTATATTTTATTTTATTTTATTTATTATTTGCGTATTAGTATTGTACTGTTAGACACTGCACTGCTGGAACTAGAAACATAAGCATTTCACTGTACCTGCTTTAACATCTGCTAATCTGTGTACGCGACAAATAGACTTTGATTAGATTTGTTTTGGTTGGTCACAGGTTCTTACGTTCACCACGGTAACCATGCCGTCATTGGTGTGTGGGTCGGTGATGATGGTGAAGTGACCTATGGGGTCACCGCTGATGATCCTGTACACAGCGTTCCAGTTGGGCGAGCGTGGCTGGTCGCGGTCAATCACGGTCAGGTTGGCAACCGCAACATTGACCCGGTTCTCTGGAACCTCCCCTGAAAACTGGGAGGGGAAAGAAAAAGGGAGAGAGATTAGAGGAAGTCAGAGGAAGTCTTCTCCTCCTCCTCCTCCTTTGTAGGCAGTCAAATGGCTTAATTACCTCGTCACTCCACAAACTCTACTCCGGAGCATTAAACTAACTAAACACACTACTGTCCTCTGCCTCCACATTTTGTCTTGTTTGGAATCATTTTCTTGTTGCGCCCTCCTACTCCTCCAATCTTGGGTGAGAACAGAGTGTTCTTCCTTTCTGTTCTTCTGAGAGACAGAGGGAGGGAGAGAGAGAGCAATGGATGGAGGGAGAGAAAAGGCCTGATTTTGTGAGGGCTCAAGCAGCAGTGTGTATGTGTTTGTGTCTCTTTCTCAGCGGGTTTTAGAGGTTCTCTAGCAGCAGAAACATGTGCTTTGTCCTGATAAGACCATAGAGCAGAGGAGTGAGCTGCTGCCTGTCATATGTCTGTCTGTAATGGTTGGGAACTGATCACAGTTCTACAGCCGCTACAGGGTCAGGGGACCCTCTCTGTGTGCCTGGACCGTACACAATAACAACATTAGCCCCCTTACCTACCCCTGACCCCCCAAATACCCCCTACCACCCTTACCTATCCACCCCATCACCACCACTAGCAGAGGGGCACGGGGGAACAGGCCGGCATGGTTTCCGCATCTTTCTTCATCTCGTCATAGCAACAGACGTGTAGTGCAGCTATAGCACCGCCACACAAAGTCACCATGTCGTCATGGGTAACAGGCATGGAGGAGCCGCAGAGCCTCTTATGGTGAGTGTGGGATATCAAAGAGTAAAGCCCCGGCCTAAACACTCCAATAGACCATAATACCCAGCACACAGACACAGGCAGATTAGGGAGCTGTGGCAAGAGGGTTGTCTCTAGAGAACCAATGACATTCTTAAGGAAACAGAGGGGTGGTCCTGTTGGTCTGCTAGGATTGGATAAAGATGCAGCGTGTGTGTGTGTACACTCTTAACTAAGTCTGCTTTGCTGCTGCTGTCGGCTAGGCAAGGTTATCCTCCATACTAATTTGAGAAAAGTTATTTCTGTAATAGGGACATCTAGGGACATGTAGGGACCATATATAACCACACTAAGGCAGGGGGAGGTGAAGGGGAGGCAGGGGGAGGTGTAGGGGAGGCAGGGGGAGATGTAGGAGTAGGTGTAGGGAGAGGTAGGGGGAGGTGTAGGGAGAGGTAGGGGGAGGCAGGGAGAGGTAGAGGGAGAGAGGGGGTGACAGGGAGCTTCATCATGGGGCCTAGGTGATGTAAAATGAGACAGGAGAACAAGATGCAGGCCAATCTGGTGTTCCTACTGGCTGGGGTTATTCCTCACTAATGAGCATGGGGTACACACACATGCATGCACACACACAAACACGTCTACTTTTTTCTCAAACTCACAGGAATAAACTACACACCAATACACACACACATAAGCTGTGTTCGAATACCCATACTAACATACTGTATACTACATACTTAATGAGTATATACTACATACTAAATTATATGTTCATTTTAGTATACTGTAAACAAACGGTATCCTTTCAGTTGATGGTACTAGCGCTTCGCCTGTCTACCGGAAGTGGATGCTGTTGCTATCCAACTTCTGGCTAGCTTGTTAGCATAACAAATTACTAGCTAGACATCTTACGACTTCATTAACAATGTCCATTGAGAACACACAACAACAATACCACTTAGCTATGCTAAGAATGACGTGAATAATCAAGTCAATAAACGTTGGGTAGTTAGTTAGATAGCATATAGTTAATATGCTGGCAAGTTCGATGTATTAGTAGCCAACTAATGTTATGTAGCTAGCTAACATACCGGTACATACAGCTGTAATGATATGCTATGCGGTTCGTAAGGAAAGCGTAGCTAACAAATTGTCAGCCAACATAACGTGTAACGTAACTTATTTGAAAAGTCATTACTTTATTACATTGCTCATAATTGGTTAAAGCAATTAATTTGTATCCGCTCTTGTCGGACTTCAGCTGCATATTTTCCACCATTTTCTTCAAATTTGAAAATGTTGTGAAGCCACGCCCATTTTCTGAAGAATTGCATTAAGGGCCCTAAAAGCACGGAAATAGTGTCCACTGCTTGTATACTTCATATTTTGGCGAATGTAGTACGACATCCGGGAACTTTTGGCATACTAACTATATCCATACTATGACCAATAAACATACATTCAATTTACATCACAAATAGTATGGTTAGTGCAGTTAGTATGAGTATTCGAATACAGCTATACTCTATTACAGATAAGCACACAAACAGACAAACACATCCACTTTGAAACACACACGCACCCCACCCACTGCCTGTCTGCCTGCCTTGAAAAATAGGCCAGGCTCTGATAGGCCTGATGAAATATTAATCTCAAACATTAAAGAGAAATTCCCCAAAAGTAATATTTCAGGGACACTTTGATAGATTTACTGCAAACCCTAAATATTTGCATAATGGCCTGCGTTGTCGACAAAATGGCTTTTATGTAGCCCACTGGTGAACTGAATGATTTATATAGGGAGCTTGTAAAAAGTGTTCCGCTCATCGTGGCTCCAAGACCTACACTCTGCAAAATAGCAGGGCCAATCATCATCAATATCAGCCACGGCATTTATTTAGCTACCCCCATCTGTGCTGGGTGATTGAAATGCACTTAAACCCACACAAATACAGTGGATGAGACTCCATCTGTTACAAACTACTATCATCAATACGCTACCACAACTGTAGAATCCTAATGCAGTAAAAAAGGGTCTGATTTAAAATAGGCCTGACTGTGTGTATGTTCTCCTTATGGACATGGTATAGCTAGAATAGCACATCATATCTAATACTGCAGCTCCTTACACGTTTCTTACCTACCACGCTCTCTTCTCCTTTAACCCACCACCTTCTATAATTTCTTTCTCTCCTCCACCCTATCCCCATTTATCAACGCTCTCCCTTGCAGGCCACAACCCTCTCCTTCCTCTCCTCTCCTCTCTCCTCCCTCTCCTCTCTTCTCTCTTCTCCTCCCTCTCCTCTCCCCTCCCCTCTCTCCTCCCTCTCCCCTTTCCTCTCTATCCCTTTATCTGTGCTTGCCCCTGCTGTGTAGCTGTGTAGCAGCAGATCGTTGATGAACCTTACGTCTGACATGCTTAGCAACTCCGTTAACTCCTAATCATAAGGATCTTAATGGCCCCCAGGGTGCATGTTAATGCTAATTCCTAAGCTCCCCAAGACTCCTGTCTACTCACAACTGGAGATGCTGCTGATGTCCAGATGGGGAAAACACACATGCTAAAAGTCATACAGTATATAGAGAAATATACAGTCGTGGTCAAAAGTTTTGAGAATGACACAAATACTAATTTTCACAAAGTCTTCTGGCTCAGTTTTGATGATGGCAATTTGCATATACTCCAGAATGTCATGAAGAGGGATCAGATGAATTGCAATTAATTGCAAAGTCCCTCTTCGCCATGAAAATGAACTTAATCCCCCAAAAACATTTCCACTGTATTTCAGCCCTATTTTCATCCCTATTTCCACAAAAGGACCAGCTGCCATCATGTCAGTGATTCTCTCATTAACACAGGTGAGAGTGTTGACGAGGACAAGGCTGGAGATCACTCTGTCATACTGATTGAGTTAGAATAACAGACTGGAAGCTTTAAAAGGAGGGTGGTGCTTGAAATCATTGTTATTCCTCTGTTAACCATGGTTACCTGCAAGGAAACACGTGCCGTCATCATTGCTTTGCACAAAAAGGGCTTCACAGGCAAGGATATTGCTGCTAGTAAGATTGCACCTAAATCAACCATTTATCGGATCATCAAGAACTTCAAGGCGAGAGGTTCAATTGTTGTGAAGAAGGCGTCAGGGCGCCCAAGAAAGTCCAGCAAGCGCCAGGACCGTCTCCTAAAGTTGATTCAGCTGCGGGATCGGGGCACCACCAGTGCAGAGCTTGCTCAGGAATGGCAGCAGGCAGGTGTGAGTGCATCTGCACGCACAGTGAGGCGAAGACTTTTGGAGGATGGCCTGGTGTCAAGAAGGGCAGCAAAGAAGCCACTTCTCTACAGGAAAAACATCAGGGACAGACTGATATTCTGCAAAAGGTACAGGGATTGGACTGCTGAGGACTGGGGTAAAGTCATTTTCTCTGATGAATCCCCTTTCCGATTGTTTGGGGCATCCGGAAAACACCTTGTCCGGAGAAGACAAGGTGAGCGCTACCATCAGTCCTGTGTCATGCCAACAATAAAGCATCCTGAGACCATTCATGTGTGGGGTTGCTTCTCAGCCAAGGGAGTGGGCTCACTCACAATTTTGCCTAAGAACACAGCCATGAATAAAGAATGGTACCAACACATCCTCCGAGAGCAACTTCTCCCAACCATCCAAGAACAGTTTGGTGACGACCAATGCCTTTTCCAGCATGATGGAGTACCTTGCCATAAGGCAAAAGTGATAACTAAGTGGCTCGGGAACAAAACATCGACATTTTGGGTCCATGGCCAGGAAACTCCCCAGACCTTAATCCCATTGAGAACTTGTTGTCGATCCTCAAGAGGTGGGTGGACAAACAAAAACCCACAAATTCTGACAAACTCCAAGCATTGATTATGCAAGAATGGGCTGCCATCAGTCAGGATGTGGCCCAGAAGATAATTGACAGCATGCCAGGGTGGATTGCAGAGGTCTTGAAAAAGAAGGGTCAACACTGCAAATATTGACTCTTTGCATAAACTTAATGTAATTGTCAATGAAAGCCTTTGACACTTACGGAATGCTTGTAATTATACTTCAGTACACCATAGTAACACCTGACAAAAATATATCATAACACTGAAGCAGCGAACTTTGTGAAGACCAATACTTGTGTCATTCTCAAAACATTTGACCACGACTGGATACAGTATATATATATATATATACAGTGGGGGAAAAAAGTATTTAGTCAGCCACCAATTGTGCAAGTTCTCCCACTTAAAAAGATGAGAGAGGCCTGTAATTTTCATCATAGGTACACGTCAACTATGACAGACAAAATGAGAAATCTTTTCCCAGAAAATCACATTGTAGGATTTTTAATGAATTTATTTGCAAATTATGGTGGAAAATAAGTATTTGGTCAATAACAAAAGTTTCTCAATACTTTGTTTTATACCCTTTGTTGGCAATGACACAGGTCAAACGTTTTCTGTAAGTCTTGGTGGTATTTTGGCATGCAGATCTCCTCTAGAGCAGTGATGTTTTGGGGCTGTCGCTGGGCAACACAGAATTTCAACTCCCTCCAAAGATTTTCTATGGGGTGGAGATCTGGAGACTGGCTAGGACACTCCAGGACCTTGAAATGCTTCTTACGAAGCCACTCCTTCGTTGCCCGGGCGGTGTGTTTGGGATCATTGTCATGGTGAAAGACCCAGCCACGTTTCATCTTCAATGCCCTTGCTGATGGAAGGAGGTTTTCACTCAAAATCTCACGATACATGGCCCCATTCATTCTTTCCTTTACACAGATCAGTCGTCCTGGTCCCTTTGCAGAAAAACAGCCCCAAAGCATGATGTTTCCACCCCCATGCTTCACAATAGGTATGGTGTTCTTTGGATGCAACTCAGCATTCTTTGTCCTCCAAACACGACGAGTTGAGTTTTTACCAAAAAGTTCTATTTTGGTTTCATCTGACCATATGACATTCTCCCAATCCTCTTCTGGATCATCCAAATGCACTCTAGCAAACTTCAGACGGGCCTGGACATGTACTGGCTTAAGCAGGGGGACACGTCTGGCACTGCAGGATTTGAGTCCCTGGTGGCGTAGTGTGTAACTGATGGTAGGCTTTGTTACTTTGGTCCCAGCTCTCTGCAGGTCATTCACTAGGTCCCCCCGTGTGGTTGGATTATCAGTGGTCTTGTATGTCTTCCATTTCCTAATAATTGCTCCCTCAGTTGATTTCTTCAAACCAAGCTGCTTACCTATTGCAGATTCAGTCTTCCCAGCCTGGTGCAGGTCTACAATTTTGTTTCTGGTGTCCTTTGACAGCTCTTTGGTATTGGCCATAGTGGAGTTTTGAGTGTGACTGTTTGAGGTTGTGGACAGGTGTCTTTTATACTGATAACAAGTTCAAACAGGTGCCATTAATACAGGTAACGAGTGGAGGACAGAGGAGCCTCTTAAAGAAGAAGTTACAGGTCTGTGAGAGCCAGAAATCTTGCTTGTTTGTAGGTGACCAAATACTTATTTTCCACCATAATTTGCAAATAAATTCATTAAAAATCCTACAATGTGATTTTCTGGATTTTTTTTCCTCAATTTGTCTGTCATAGTTGACGTGTACCTATGATGAAAATTACAGGCCTCTCTCATCTTTTTAAGTGGGAGAACTTGCACAATTGGTGGCTGACTAAATACTTTTTTTCCCCACTGTACATTAATACATCCTGTATCAAAAGTCGTTATATCAAGTTACCAGCCTCAGAAATTGCAGACCAAATAAATGCTTCACTGAGTTCAGGTAACAGACACATCTCAACATCAACTGTTCAGAGGAGACTGCGTAAACCAGGCCTTCATGGTCGATTTTGCTGCAAAGAAACCACTACTAAAGGACACCAATAAGAAGAAGTGACTTGCTTGGGCCAAGAAACACGAGAAATTGACATTAGACTGGTGGAAATCTGTCCTTTGGTCTGATGAGTCCAAATTTGAGATTTTTGGTTCCAACAGCCGTATTTTTGTAAGACGCAGAGTAGGTGAAAGGATGATCTCCGCATGTGTGGTTCCCACCGTGAAGCATGGAGAAGGAGGTGTGATGGTGTGGGGGTGCTTTGCTGGTGACATTGTCTATGATTTATTTAGAATTCAAGGCACACTTAACCAGCTTGGCTACCACAGCATTCTGCAGCGATATGCCATCCCATCTGGTTTGCGCTTAGTGGGACTATTATTTGTTTTTCAACAGGACAATGACCCAACACATCTCCAGGCTGTGTAAGGGCTATTTGACCAAGAAGGAGAGTGATGGTGTGCTGCATCAGATGACCTGACCTCCACAATCACCTGACCTCAACCCAATTGAGATGGTTTGGGATGAGTTGGACCGTAGAGTGAAGGAAAAGCAGCTAACAAGTGCTCAGTATATGTGGGAACCTTCCAGGTGAAGCTGTTTGAGAGAATGCCAAGAGTGTGCAAAGCTGTCCTCAAAGCAAAGGGTGGCTACTTTGAAGAATCTAAAATCTAAAATATATTTTGATTTGTTTAACACTTTTTTTGGTTACTACATGATTCCATATGTGTTATTTCAAAGTGTTGATGTCTTCACTATTATTCTACAATGTAGAAAATAGTACAAATAAAGAAAAACCCTTGAATGAGTAGGTGTGTCCAAACTTTTTACTGGTACTGTTTATATAATTAATAGAGTGATAAGAAGGACGCCTGTACAGAATACAAATATTCCAAATCATGCATCCTGTTTGCAATAAGGCACTAAAGTAAAACTGCAAAAAATGTGGCAAAGAAATTAACTTTATGTCCAGATTACAAAGCGTTATGTTTGGGGCAAATCCAACACAACACATCACTGAGTACCACTCTTCATATTTTAAAGCATGGTGGTAGCTGCATCATGTTATGGGAATGCTTGTCAATAGCAAGGACTATGGAGTTTTTTTATGATAAAAAGGACTAGAGGTAAGCACAGGCAAAATCCTAGAAGAATACGGTGCAAATATTGTCCATGTGTGCAAAGCTCTTAGAGACTTACCCAGAAAGACTCACGGTTGTAATCGCTGCCAAAGGTGATTCTAACATGTATTGATTTAGGAGGTTGAATACTTATCTAATCAAGACATATTTGAGTGTTTTATTTTTCATAAATATTTGACAATTGTTAGAATTTTTTTCCACCTTGATATTACAGTGAAGTTTGTGTAGATCGTTGACAAAAAATGTAAATTAAATCCATTTGAATCCCACTTTGTAACACAACAAAATGTGGAAAAAGTCAAGGGGTGCGAATACTTTCTGAAGGCACTGTATGTGTGAAGCATCATATTCTAAACTGTTAGGTCATCTTTCTAATATCCCTTTCTTTCCTCTCACTTCTGTCTCTTACCTTTCTTATACCCCTGTCTTCTCTGCTCTCTCCCCATCTCCCTCTCTCTTGTTAAATGTCCTTCGTTCCTCCCTCCCCTTCTTCCTCAACTCTCAGTGCTCTCCTAATGATTGTGTCGTGAAGCGCTCCACCTGCGTAAGCTGTTTCCTGTTGCACTGATAAACAGCTGAGTTAATCAGCTCAGATCGCCACCTGGGCCACCGGAGGGCTCAGCACGCCTTAATGACTGACACAGGGTTAATGAGACACACACACACAGTCACACACACACACATGACTACACCTGCTCAAGGGCCTGTCCCCAAATTTTACAACAATCTCATATCAACGCTAAAGCATCCCCCTCTCTCTCTCTCTCTCTCTCTCTGTCTCTCTCTCTCTCTCTCTCTCTCCTCTCTCTCTCTCTCTCTCTCTCTCTCTCTCTCTCTCTCTCTCTCTCTCTCTCTCCTCATTCTCACCTTCCCCCACCTTCTCTAGCTGATGGGGTGTGAGAGGGATATTTCATTTTGTTTGCCACATAAGGCATATAAGTTAACACATATACAAACTCTTACCACCTGCTACCTGCACTGTGTAGTACCTATCACACATACCCAGGACCGGATTTCAATTCAGCTCATGACCTGACATATCCTTGCTTACAATCATAAGATGATCTAACTGCTTAATTGTTTTCACATAAATAACTTAAAAGGTCTGAAGTATACCCCTCCCCTGCTATACACGCTCTCACACGCTCCAACAAAGCAACACAGAATCATTTCTCCCTATACACTTTTGTGTCAAGCACCTCGCTGTAGAAATTACAGCCCACATACACTTACTTACTGTTTCCTCTCAGCTAACCCTCCTTTACTCTTTTAGCCATCCTACCCATTCCAGCCATCCAGATAACAAATCACTCTTGGAGTTTTCTCATTTCCCAACTATCAGGAATACTTCTTCTACTCCCTGCCTCCCCCCTCCCCCCACCTCCCCCCTCAACCTCAACCTCAACCTCACCCCTCCCCTCCCCACCCCCCTAACCCTGCATCCCTCCACTCACCCTCCACACATTTACTATGTCTGGCTGGTAGTGCTTCCAGGGTACGACTGTGTGTGTGTGTCTGTCTGTCTCTTTTGTGGGGGCGTGTGTGTATGTGTGCGTGCGTGCACTTTTGGAGACCCGGCTATAACAATCAACATTCCCTGGGTAACCAGAAGATGTATGGATACGTTGGCAGCAATGTGTGCTAGTCTCCATGCCGTTTGATCACACACTTCATTCTCTACTTTGATTTGGTCCTGTGCCTCCAATAATTACTTTTTTTAAATATACGGTAAGGATCATACTTATAACCATTATCACCACTATTATCATAGGTAGGTCTGCTTGCTATTGTTTTCTAGGTGATGAAAGCTCAAGATTGGACATTTATTTCACTCAGGTCAGGTGTGTGTGCTTTCTCTGAGATGATACAAGGGCTGTGTTTCACCCCTTCCCCTCTCCCTCTCTCCTCATCCCTCTCATCTTCTACCCTTCTCCCTGAATTCCACTCCTCCATCTCCCATACCTTCCCCATCTTCCCCCTCCCCTTTCCCTCCCCCTCCCCCTCCATGTTCCCCTCCTCTCTCTCCTCCCTCCACTCACGGTTCTGGAGGTGAGCTCGGGTGGGTTGTCATTGATATCTGTGACAGAGATGATGGCGGTGGCCGTGTTGGACAGGCCGAAGTTTAGGTTGCCCTCCATGTCCGTGGCCTGGACGATGATGCTGTACTGGGACACTTTCTACAGGACAAACACACAGAAAGAAGAAAATAAAGAGTTAAGCAGAGCAACTAGTGATCAAACATACACACAGTCAAACAAAGCACTCAATGGTCAAATACACTGAGTGTACAAAACATTAGGAACTCTTTTCATGACATAAACTGACGAGGTGAATCCAGGTGAAATCTATGATCCCTTATTGATGTCACTTGTAAAATCCACTTCAATCAGTGTAGAGGAAGTTGAGGAGACAGGTTAAAGAAGGATTTTTATGCCTTGAGACAATTGAGACATGGACTGTGTATGTGTGCCATTCATAGGGTAAATGAGCAAGACAAAAGATTGAAGTGCCTTTGAACAGGGTATGGTAGAAAGTGCCAGGCACACTAGTTTGAGTGTGTCAAGAACTGCAGTGCTGCTAGGGTTTTTCATGCTCAACAATTTCCTGTGTGTATCAAGAATGGTCCACCATCCAAAGGGCATCCAGCCAACTTGACACAACTGTGGAACGCATTGGAGTCAATATGAACCAGTATCCCTGCGGAACGCATTCGACAGCTTGCAGTCCATGCCCCAACAAATTGAGGCTGTTCTGAGGGCAAAAGCGGGTGCAACTCAATATTAGGAAGGTGTTCCTAATGTTTTGTACACTCAGTGTAGCCTACAAACATCCCATCATCTGAATGATTCTGCTACAGAAGTCTTTCCCAGCAGCCTGGTCTCATAGACTAGATGTAAAATCAGAGACACTCAAATAAGTATGATACTGTATGTTACATTTGGTATGGTTACATAAGACAGATGGTTACTTAAAGCAAAAATGAAAATAGGGTGGTTGGTTGGGGTGGATGGGTAGGTATTTAACCCAAAGTTGAGAGTTCAAATCTCATCACGGACAACTTTAAAAATGTATGCAACTTTCAACTACTTACTACTTTTTAGCTACTTTGCAACTACTTAGCATGTTAGCTAACAATTCCACTAACCCTAACCTTAACCATTTTAGCCAACCCTTCACTTAACCCTAACCCTATCTTTAACCCTTTAATCTAACTCCTAAACTTAACCTTAACCTTTCCCCTAACCCTAACTTTAACCATTTAACCTAACTCCTAAACTTAACCCAGCCATAACCCTAACCCCTAACCCATTCCCTAGCCTAGCTAACGTTAGACAGCTAGCTAACGTTAGCCACCTAGCCACCTATCTAGAATTCGTGACATATCATACATTTAGCAGAAATCATAACATATAGTACGTTTAGCAAATCCGTAATATATTGTATGTTTTGAAAATTCAAAACATATAATACAAATTGTAATTCGTAACATATCATACGAAATGGGTGATGGACATTCACAAATTAATACATACCATATGAAACGTAACATACTGTATCATACTAAATGGAGAGTCTCGGATTTACATACAAAATAATACGAAATGCTCTGAGAACAGGTTGTTCCCAGAGGCAGTTCCAGCACTGCTATTACCACAACACAAACACACTGTGGGAAATGAACCTTGAGTTTCACATGACATTATCCTCTTTCCTTATGTGGAGGGCCAGGAGTTTTTCTGACCTGAACAGGAAAAACTCTGGGCCCTACTTTTGAGTGAGAACACATCCCACCAGCGTTACCAGGGTTACTGACCTCGCGATCGAGGCCTGCTGCCACGGTGACAATGTCTCCGGTCTCACTGTTGATGGTGAACATGTTGGGGATGGGGCTGTGTGGCGTCTGGGACAGGATCCGGTAGCGCACCATCCCATTGGCCGTGGTGTTGTCATCATGATCGAAGGCTGCCAGGTGCATCACAAACGTACCTGAGGAAGAGGAGGCAACAGTCAGATGGGGCATACATAGACAGGGACAGATACACAAGCACATACAGTCACGCACACACTGATCTCTCACTCTCTCTCTTTATCTCTCTGTCCCTGTTTACGCTCCTCTCTCTCTCTGTCCCAGTCTCTGCTCCTGTCTCCTTTCTCCTTTCTCATTTCTCTGTCCCCCCCCTCTCTCTCTCTCTCTCCAGCTGTCTTGCTCTCTTCCTCTCTCTCTCTCTTATCTCTTCTCTCCTCTCTCTCTCTCTCTCTCTCTCTCTCTCTCTCTCTCTTTCTCCAGCTGTCTCGCTCCCTCTCCCTCTCTCCCTCTGCCTCCTCTCCTCTCCTCTCCACCAGTTGCTTCCAATTGTTATTATTAGAGATAGTGATATCATTCCAGTAACAAGCTCCGTCCGGAGATAATTCCAGCCGCAACCACCATTTCAAAGCAACATTTGTCCATTGGGCCGAGGAGAGAGAAATAGGATTCCAAATGACTCAGAGAGAAAGGAAAGGAAGAAAGAGCAGAGGAACAGAGTGAGGGATAAAGGACAGACAGAGAGGGGCTCTGCATTTGGTTCCAACTAGGGAGACTATCAATCTTTCACCCATCCTCTCTCTCTCTCTCTCTCTCTCTCTCTCTCTCTCTCTCTCTCTCTCTCTCTCTCTCTCTCTCTCTCTCTCTCTCTCTCTCTCTCTGGAGACTCACACTGTGTCACCCATTGCCTGGGTAATTTCATTAAGGGGCGCTCTTAGGGGGCTTAATGTGGACCCTTTGTACGGGCGTCCTACTCTGTGCCTGACAGGATTAGGGGCCTAAATGAGTCTTTAATTTGAAAACTAATTCAACTCTGTAATTGGCTTACCATTGAAATGACTGGAGCTCTTAATTCTAAAACTATTTTTTTAATGATTATTGTTCGGCTGAATGTCACGCATACTACTGCAGAGGTTTGGTGATGTGTGTGTGTGCTTGTGCATGTGCGTGTGTGTGTCTGTGTTGGGGTGGGGGAGTTTGTAGAAAAATCACTTCAGGGTGAAAAAGGAGAAAGAAAGAGAGAGTTAGTGAGAAAAGGAAAGTGCATGTAGCACCTGGACACCTCTTCAGATTTCAGATCACCTCTAGTGCAATATGATCTGGCTCATCAGCCTTTCTCTCCACTGTGAGGGAATAAATAAAATAAGTCAGTGGAGCTGCAGCTAAAGCGTGGTACATTTATGCACCATATCATCTCCAGCCACACCATCCACAGCTTTATGGCCATGCAGCCAGCAGCAGAGCTAGCTAAATGAGCACACTGCAGGACAGAAGCTCTCCATCTGAGCAAATGCCTCTGGGCTAAATCAAGTGGAATGTGAAACTGAATCAATCTATCTATCAATCAAAAAAATATATATATATCTGTATGTATTCTCTACGGGCTCCATTTTTCTCACGCAGAACAGCAAATTAATGTGCAAAGACTGCGGTAAAACTCACTATTCTTTACAGTGTGATTTATGTAGTAACTTTCTTCTGTCCATGTCAGTGAGAAAGAGACAATGTTCCATCCATCCATCCCTGTGTTTACCTGGCTTGGAGCCCTCGTCGACAGATCCATTGTAGACCTGGTTCTTGAACTCAGGCCGGTTGTCGTTCATGTCTATGACATAGATGTAGAGGTCTATGGGGCTCTCCACCCGCTCACCATTCATGTTCACTGCATGGGCACGAAGCTGGAGAGAGAGGGTGAGAGAGAGAGAGATAGAGATAGAGGGTCAGTTATGCTGCCATTAACAAACTCAACATCGGTAACATGATATGCTTGATATGCAGTGTGGTAACCGAAGCTATGCACTGCCTTATGGCATATTTCTGAAAAACAACAGGACCAGAGAGAAATGAACAACGTTGCATTGCATAACTGCACAGCCCAATGGGTACCCAGCACCAATAATATATGTGACTCGATTCAGGAAACTAGGCGTATGACGCGCATCACTACTTCACAAGAGAAGCATTTGAAAATATTTGTTTTGCCTTAAAAACAAACTTGTCTGCTATCTGTAAATACAAATACAATTGTTAAATTACGAGCCTTGTTGGTTTAGCCATAGAAAAAGACAGGAACCTTCCCGCTAGCCATGATTGGCTGAGATAATGGATGGGCTGGACATGCCAAGAGATGAGTTCTCGGATTGGTCTGCCATGTAGCACGCTTCTGTCTATAACATGAGCTGCTTAGTATGTGTAGGTAATCCTTTCTAAAGCGTAAAAAAAAAAAAATATGACAAAGAACTGCACAGGTGATGCTAAGGCTCTCCACTTTCTGGAGGACAGAGTTTTGAAATCAGTGGAATGCCCGGTGGAAGCAGAGTATGATAGCTAAGGAGAAAATTCAGGCGTTTGATTGCAAATGCAGAGGGAGTCGAAAAGAGAACACAGAAGGCTGTTGTATAAAACACCTGTCTGGATTACATCTTCAAACTAATGGCAACCATGTCAACCGCGACAGAGAGGGAGAAGCGTTCATCCATGTATACGGGTAAGAGAGTCTAGCAAGCTATATTTTCAGAAAAATATGGGTTTATTGGTGTTAAAATGCACCAGTTATGCTATTTTGGACCCCAAGGATGCTGATGTCATGCAGCCTGTCGTTTTTGTGTTTATACTTTTTCATAACGACAAGTTTGATGTCGGACGACAATAGAACAACTGTATACAGACATGTCGATAGAAGTAGCATAAACCAGCCTTTAGTCTTGAAATCTTTGGTTGTACACTACCGTACGCACTGTTTAGCACATGGCCTCACGTGAATCCTTAAAGAGATGGGTGGGGCTAAGGCTTAAGAGGATATGAACGATGCTGAATGGGTGTAGACAAAGAAGAACTCTCCAGTAGGTGTCTCAAAACATTCAAGGGACATTTTCTCAAAAGTGGGGCTACAAGTTTATCAACTTTCAAAGCAGAATTACTTTCCCATTTGTTCCTCAACTGCAGTGTATGATATAACATTTTCTAGCTCTGAGTCTCTACTTTTTTCCAAAGTAAAAAACAGAATTTCAAATTTTTATACATAAGACCGACTCAAGGCGGTCGGTCACATATACCAACAAAACAACAACTATGATTACATTTCATTTAAATGTAAAGTTCTGTGAGAGAAATTTCCCACACTACAATATTGTCCCAGCATTCTTATCTCCAACACCTAATTCTCAGGACTAGTTTCTTGAAAGTAACAAACAACACAGTTCTCTCGTTTTAAAGAGCTGGCTTCCCTTCAAAATATTCTCTATTTGTTTGTTTCCTTCTTCTCCTAGTCTTCTTGGATCTCACTCCAACATTCTGTGGTTGGTTTATTTGAAAGGGAATCCCAAAATCTCTTAATCTTATAGCCAACATCACAAACACAGTGAGTCGATGTGAACTGCTGCTCGACTGCATCCTAATCTAGAGCAATAGCAGCAGTAGGATTTCACACATAGTTTGGACACCGAAATTAATACAGAAATCTATACAGGCTGGAAAGCCTGTCCAGACAGCCTTTCCCTCCCCAGAAATCTTAAAATAAAAATATTTTGATAAAGAACACTGCAGGAGAAAAATGCTGGTAATATATCTTGGTTAGCCGTAGAGGATATGTTAAGATTCAATAAACATCAGTGCTCTATTTTTACTGCACCCAGGGAGAGGGTCATTCTGATATCTTTTAGAATCAGGGAGTTATATTTCACTATTTGACCTTACTAGCATACTTTATATCATCGACAATGATTTATTCAACAATATCCCTGTAGACTGCGTGAAACGACGAAGGTTTAGGAACGATTTGGTGTTTCAGATAGACCACTGGAATCAGGATGACATCAACATTCCACTGCTACAGGCAAATGCTGGCAAATATGTAGCCTGTTAGAATGTCTGAGATGACTATCAACAGGACACAGGAGCGGACGTAGTAAGACCTTCCACCACCCTATCTGATTCTCAGGGTATAAGCTTCAAAAGAGAGAACAGGGCAGGAGAGGAGGAACGGAGGGGAGGAGGGTAAAAAGATAAGAGCAGGAAAGTGGGAAGAAGTTTTAAAAAAGGAGGAGAAGAGAAGGAAAGTGAAGAGAGGAGAGGGGAGAAGGGGAGGAATGTATAGTTACAATCTGGAGCAGCAGAACCTCTCTATTATGTGCTTCTGATAGGACAGTGAGAGGGCGTCAACTGAGGTATCGCCATGACAACTATCAAATAAAAACCTTACCCTCTTGCCAGGAGGGTTGTGGCCTTGTGACAGGAAAAATAATCAGTAGGATGCCCCATCCACTTCCTTCCTCTAAGACAGGTGAACATCCTCTCCAATCTCTCTACATTCCCCTCCCCTCTCCTCTCCGCCTTCACAAAAATTGCATCGCCGGGTCTCCCAAAGGTTAATTTGACTTTACTTTTTCCTCTGCATTGTCTGATCTGGCCCTGCACCCAATATCCGTGCCCTGCCATCGCTCCCTGCTAAACTGCAGCCTGGGAGCCCACAAAACTTTATCTCTCCCCCAGCGCTGCGCTACGCGGCGCCCACACCCTCATTCAATAACACCGCCAGTCAGAGATTACCAGCCGTGTTTTAAGGTCCACTGCAGCCGTTTTTATCTCAATATCAAATCATTTCTGTGTAACAGTTAAGTACCTTATTGTGATAGTTTTCAATTAAAATTGTCAAAAAGAACCAAAATAGCTTCTTAGCAACTGTCTGGGAGTGGTCTGAGTGGTGAGGGGAAAACTGAAAATGTGCTGTTATTGGCAGATAGGTTTGGAACTTTGTCTTATTGGTCTACTAACTAATTTACCACATGGTGATGTCACCATGGAAGGCCAAAACTCCATCCCACCTAAACAGGCTGAAATATCAGGCAGTGTTTTCAAACAGCTCTTACACTAAAAGGGCATTATCATCATTTTCACAATTGTAC